TAGCTAGTAATGCCCAGTAATCACAAGAAAACAGCCAATTAGAGTGCGCGTACTATTGTAACCATATAATATTAGCAATATAATTTACAGTACCTTGGTTTGGACTTCATTGCTATAGGATGATTTCTCTCTTCTGCAGTGGATATTTTCCTGATAAAACAAAACCCACAGCAAAAAGTCAGCCATCAAGCTACCTATACAAGACCAACAGGGAACCCAAATGGTCTGTGATTTGGTTGCTTATCGGTACAGCTAGAAGCAGCTACCAGAAGCTGATTCGCGCTGTTTTAAACTGTACCGCTATTATATTCCATCTCGTTTAGTACGCAAATATAGGTGAATTTGAATTGAGTTCTTAGGCCGTATCCAAGATAGGAAAAAGCCAACACAATCCTAAATAGATTCATCGGTTTTTGTTACCATAGACGGCCACGATGCCCGTTAATCTAAAAATACTGCTAAGGAATAAGCCTAAACTACAAAAGGCCGGCCTGTCAGGTAAAGTTCCTTTAAAGTACATTCAACACGCGAAAATAAGAACAATGATTTCACTTATAATAAGCTTCTTGCAGTTAATTGGCTCTTTGTTAATTTTGTAACTAACAAAAGTACACAGCAAGGACGTAGGGGTCCCTAACTATTCAAGAAAGTAAATTACAAGTGAAGTAAGGTTTGGCAAACCTCCAGGGAGTATGCTCTTTAACCCACTGAAGTCTTCTTGCCTCAAGCTCTTTAGTCAATGTTAATCCAGGAACTGAATTGTCCTTCACCTCTTGAAAGTCACTCTTGACCTGAGAGATGTGTTGCTCTTCTTTCATATTGACTTCTGCTTTTCTCTTTGCTTCTTCTTCTGTCTCTAACCGTTTGCTCTCCTCTTCCATTTTTTTCTTTTCTACTTCCGTTTCCCTTTCTCGTTCTTCTCTACTTTTCTTCTCGTTTTCTCTTCTTTTGTCTTCCAACTCTTTTCTTTTCATATCTTCCAGTCTTCTTCTCTCCTCTTCCCTTCTTTTCTCTTCTTCCAGCTTTCTTTTTAACTCCTCTTCTTCTCTCTTCTTTTTAGCTTCTTCTTCTGCTTTTCTTTTCTCCTCTTCCAGTTTTCTTTTTAATTCTGCTTCTCTGAGCTTCTCTTCTTCCTCTCGCTTTTTTCTTGCATCTTCTACAGCCTTCTTTCTATTTTCCTCTTCCAACTTCCTCTTCAATTCTGCTTCTCTCACTCTCTCCTCCTCTTCTCTCTTCCTCTCTGCTTCCTCTTCTTCCTTCCTCTTCTCTTCTTCCAGTACACTTTTCCTTTCCTCTTCTTCCCTCTTTCGCTTTTCTTCCTCTCTAATTCTTTGCTCTTCCTTTAATTTTCTTTCTTTCTCGACTTTTTCTTGTCTCGTTCTCCTCTCCTCCTCTTCCTTCTTTCTCCGTTCATCCTCCAGTCTCTTTCTTTCTGCTTCATCTCTTAACCTTTTTTCCACTCTTTCAATTCGGTCAAGTTCCTCATTTCTCTTCTTTATTCTTTCAACTCGTTTGGTTTCCAGAAAAGGCTGATACTGCTTTCTTACCCTGAATAAAAAGAGACTTGCTTTCAAAACACCCCGACAATTCCTTGCTATCAGGACAAAAGAGCATGAAAATAAAACATTCCAGTGTTTCTGCTAGTTTAGTTTAGCCGACCACAAAACATAAGAATGCAGGCATGCAAGAAGACATTTCATTCCAAGCAAAACCCTCTGTTCGTAAATTGTCACTTCATAAACTTCGTTTTCTTGCTTAATTGGAGCTTACTGGTTGTATAATTATGTTAAAAACAGTTGCCAACTGATTGCAAACAACAATATGTCTAGGCATTTCCTACCAGTTGCGTAACAATAATCATCACAGACGAAAGGCACAAATTAAATTTTTTATACTTACACATTGTATTCGTCATAATCCTTATACCTCGACAAAAAGGCGTTCCATTTAGACAAGCTATTTTTCATCAATCTACTGTAAAGTTAGCTGTTTGTCACCATTTTATAGCTCGTATAAGGGCTTGTTAAACCACCCCCCCCCCCCCTTAAAATTTAACTAAAATTTGAGTGCTTTTGACAATAATTATTTCATATCAGAAATAGCTTTGCTTCAAGCCAAACTGTAAACTTAAATGTAAGTAATCAGTGATTCACATACCTAAATCCGCGATAAAACCGCTGAATTTTAGTGGCTGCTGTTTGTTGTTTCTTCTGCTGATATTCTGCCTCTTTTCGCTGTAGACAAAAATTAGAAAATCCTTGTCACATTTTAGCATAACAAGTCATCCATTTTCCATGGCTGTCAATAAGGGCCTGGGGCCGAGGATTTCCTGCGGTTGCAATGAGCACGATCTCCAACTACTTTCATAGGAAACATAAGAAAAATAAAATCAAAAGGACTTACTGGTTGTTCAATCTCTTGCTTACTAATTGCATAAAATTGCATAAATACATTCTGTACGGCAACATGAAATCTTAATGAAAACCTTGCATTTTCACTGTCGATTAACCCACTACCTTCCACCACAAAACTACATGTATATGTAAGTTATGGAAAGCGAGATTCTGCAAATGCAGAGGGTCGCACGCAAGGCGGAAAAAAAAAGAAGAGAGCGTTACGTAAGGGGAGGTCAAATAATTTCTTACACTGTACTTTGTCAAAACAGCAATAGAACCCTTTCTCAGTCTTTCTCAGGCAACAGAAATGTTTAGATAATAGGGCCATTCATACGAGGAAAAATAAGACGCGTCTTACATAGGACGCGTCTTAAATAAGACGCGAACGTTCCGTACAAACGGAGACGCGGCTTAGCTAAGACGAGTCTTATTTTAGATCAGCCCTTAACACCTGTTCTTAGATAAGACGCGTCTTAGCTAAGACGAGAAAAACTTCGTATAAATGGCCTTCGCGTCTTACATAAGACGCGAACGCATAGTACGCATGCGTTAATTCTTGGCGCGCCACGTTGGATTGCCGTTGCTACGGGCAACATTCACATGAAAACGAGTCAAGAACAGAAATAATACGCGAACCATTCATACGAGCTGTTCTCCTCTTAGATAAGACATGCTCGTATAAATGGTACAGTTCGATACTATTAAATCATATTTAATGTAGTTAACGACCAGGAGCTATGGTCTCGGGTGTTTTGGGCATTCTTTGGTAGCGCATTGGTCGTCTGTAGCGTTGTGCGTGACTATGTTTGCGTTTGTAGCGTTTACCATTGTTCGTGAGCATGGGGGCAGATTCCTGTCCAGCGGTATGTCGCTTTGGCGCATGCGGAGGCCACGTGCCTACGTTGTGTTTGCGTTGTACTCGAAGCTTTGTTAGCGTGGCGTGGCGTGGCGTTCCAGTAGCGTAGCGTTTCTCTTGGTTCCCCTCCCTCCCCCGCTTTCTTTCTTATTTATTTATTTAGTTATTTATTCTTTCAGGGGTTGGTTCATTTTACTTCCACTGGGCTTCTGGCCTCAGTGTGACGGGTGCTATAGTGGGGGGCTGGGCGCGGGGGGGCTCGTGGCTGGGTTGCGGGTTGGTAGGCCTGTGGGTGTTCTTCCGCCTTGGGGTGTATTGCGGTTGCAGCCCCCTTGCCCATGGGCACCCAACCTCCACTTGCGACGCAGGCGTTAACGTCTTATTTAAGCCACGTCTTATTTTTCCGGGCAAGCATTTCACAGAAAACAGCCAGTGCCCCTGGCTGAAGAAGTGGGTGTTACAGACAGATAGTGTTGAAGAAAGTCATGCATATAGTCCTGGAGCAAAATGCCATACGTGCAACTCTCTCGCACCAGGTTAACACAACTACCCACAATACAGCAGATTTGTGCATTCTGCACCTGATTGTGACACTTGCAAATTTGTGCTTACTTGAGCATCCACAAATGCCTCTTTCTGTGTTCTTCGTTCCTCTTCAATTGCCTTCATCTCCACCTTTTGAAGAAAATACAATGTATTTATACATGACATGAATAGTCAACATCATTTTTTTTGGGCGGTGTGTTGGAACTGTAAATTACTTTGCAACATATTTTACTGCATGAAATGTACTTCTTTAACTATTTTGTAGGAGGAAAACCTACTATGTTAATATATACAACCCTATACACCTGTATCAATGTATCACAGATCTCCGACAAAGAGCACCAAACAATACCTTTTTCTTCTACATGCACACCGTTACATGTAGTAATCTTTATTTACAATGTAAATTGAACTGAAATATTGTCACCTGGAATTTCTTTTCCATTTCTTTCAATTTCTTTTCTTCTTCTTTTGCCTCCACTTCCAGTTTTGCTTGAAGTGCCTTTTTACATGTAAATGAAATGGAATATTACAGTCAAGTCAGTTCTGGCATAACCCATAGAATTGTAACAGAGTTGACGGCTGTTCTGCAAATGTAAGTTTCCTACGGTGTAAAAAAAGCCCTACTAACTACCAATTTATGAGTTGCTGCTGAATAAAAGCACTTGTTATTTAAACATCCAGAAAAATTGCTTGACAGACGCCTTGTAAAGTGTTTTTAAGGTGTGGCCATAAAGCCAAGGGGAATAATTTGATGCTAAAAAGATGTTTTTATTTTAACATTTCTCTGAAACAATGCACAGGGGCACTCAACGTCACTTTTCGGAAAATATCTGTTTGGAAGACGATTTGAGATCTAGAATTTTAGGAACATTTTTTTGTAAAATTTCTTGCTTGCCTGCCTCTCCTAGTTTTTGAACATCTAAAAGATGGTATGATTGCCCATTGTTACCCCAAAAAGGTCACCTAGAATTTTCGGGAGCCTTTCTTCTGGCTGAAATTTTCGAAAAGGTAAGTTTTGATCCCTATAATTTTTGGATCACTAAACTTTCAGCTAGGAAATCTGAACAGATGAAGAATTTTTAGGGGATAAAAATACGCCTATATCTACCGTTTAAATACTAATTAAAATATTTCTAACAATGCTATTCTCGTTGGGTGCCCCTGAATGTACTCTTGATCAGTCCATCGTATAAGATAATTTTCATGTTTTATGTATGACTCCAAAACTCTCTCAAGAACTTGGAAAACCACATTTCAGCCACAGATGCAGTGATCCAGGGTCATGACTGATGAGAGAACTGCACAAATCCATAATTACTTTTCTTAGAAATACCTCCTGTTCTTTGAGTAATTTCTTCTGAGCAGCTTCAAATTCAGCTTGTCTCTTGAGGCGAGCTTCTCTTTCTCTTTCTCGTCTTTCATCCTCTTCTTGTTTTCTCTCCTGGTACCATTTATCTCTCTCCTGTTCCTTCTGAGCCCGTTTTTTCTCCAGTTCTCTCATCTCTTGCTGGGCTTTTTCCTCCAGAGCTTGAATTTCTACTGTAACTCCTAAAGATTAGAAAAAATGTAATGATAAACACACTGATGGTAAATAGTATTAAATGGTATTTTAAGTATGAAAACCATTTATAATAAACACATACCTGTAAGGTTTAAAGTTAAAATGCTGAATCAGATTTATGCATAGAGGTAATAGCTTGTTTTGGGGCTAGCCCTTTGTCAGGATGAGTCAAAGGATTGTGGGTCAGTTGTGGTTTATATTTTGAGTAGTGGGGCTATGTTACTATGCTACTAATAGGAACATGGTAAATATTGAAAAACAAGCAATAACTAGTAGTTGAATGAAAAGCGTTCATTGATTCTAAGGGGATTAACGTGCTGAATTTCATCTAAATTTACACTATGGAGTACTGTTTAATTAAACTTTAACCTTTAGAATATTAGGGGTGGATATAAACAACACACAAATAATAACAAAATATTGTTATGGAGTGACTGTTAGTAAAAATATCATATAACTCTTATATAGGCAAAGTTCTACAAAATTTACTGTAACATCAACAATAAAAAAAACTTTCTCCTGTGATGGAAAAATTTTAGAAGAGAACCCATGAATGACTGTAAGTCTAATATACCTGGTCTGATGATATCCAAGGCATATTTATTCTCTTCTCCATTCTTGTTTTCTGCCGCTAATTTTTCCCTTTCTTCTCTCAGCTCTGCCTCTTCAAGCTCTGATAGGACCTGAATCATATAAATTAAATGGCATGATAATGTTACCAGAGTTTAAGTTATAACATAAACATAGTCATTGTACATGTACATGGAAAATCATTATTAACCACAAATCGTGACAGACCATTGGTTTAAAGTTTATTGATAAAATGAAATTCCCAAGTAATCCGTTTTACCTATCCATGCTCCCCTAAATTTTTTCTGTATTTCTCTTTCTGATTTTCTACAGTTTGAATTAGTTCTTTCCACATTTTAGTCGTTTCTGTGATAGTTTGGTAAGTGCTGAAATTGCCTAAGATAGCATAAACACGTAAACACGAGAGCTGGGTTGTTCAAAGCTGGATTAAGATACATGTAACCCAATATGATGGCTGGATGATCTAAAAAAAGAGAAACTCAGATTAAAATTTAACCCCGAGTTAGTGCTAAGTCGCAGGCCTTCAAACAACTGGGCCCAGGGGAAACTCCCACATGAGGGAGATGGGTATGCTCATGGGAAAATTACATAATAATAATTAATCGCTAAAGGAGACTAGTCTGAATCATATATAGCTCAGGCTTCATCTATCCCCTCATAATCCCCCTCATAAAGGGTAACAATACTCCTCCAGCACAGTATAATATGTCATTATTGTTGATTAAGAGATACCTTTACAGGTAAAATATTGGCTTTCTGTCCAGAACGTTCTAATTGAAACTAAAATCTTCAATTTTCTACCCCAACACTTTGATATGGGGGTCCCGCTGCATTGAAAGCATGACCTTTAACCCTTTTGTGGCAAGTATCAAAATTAATTTCTCCTTTATATTATATCCTTGAAATGATCACTGAGTAAAAATGTCATGATTATTAACCAATTTATGAGCCTTACAAAGGACCACAAAAACAATATTACTCAGTAACTAATACTAGGGACAGTCACTAAAGGGTTAAAAAAAGTTAACCTGGTCTCTAAGAACAAGAGGATTTTCTTCATGTTCTTCACCAAGCTCCTCCTTGATTCTTTTAGCAAGTAAATCTTTATCTTCTTTGATGACATCGCCTGTGGAAACATACCCTTTTGCTATTTAGTAAAAAGCGTCAAAAGGCAGAACTTAGACAGCTGTTTCATTGGGTGGATGTCATGCAACTTGACTTGCAATTTCTTTTTTGGCTGGGATGGGGGTGGTGGGGGGCACTATTGCCAGACAACTTTGCAGGAGACTTAATTTGTCATTTCAGGGCTGTTAACCTTGAGCAGAAAACAGTGGGCCCTGGCACCCATCTTGCTGGCTCTCGGGTAACTAGAAATTGTTAATTTTTTCATAAGTCAAATGCTGGGCACCTTAGATTTGACAAGTTCAGTGCACTGGGTGATTAACTTTCCTTAGAAGACATGCTCTAGAACACAGCCTTGCATTTTATATCCCCAATCTCAATAATCTTTGATAGTGGACTGGGGACTTCAGCCATCATTAAGTATCTACAGAAACCCATAAGGGGTTGAAATGTGTAACTCGCGTTCAATGCTTGTGAATATTCATTTTGACCATATTTGGAAATCTTAGTGACGGATATCCATTTTCAACAAAATGGCTGCTGAGCGATCACCATGCAGATGTTTTAAGACAAGAGTTCTGCATTTCAAGGTGAAAAATACGCCGTTAAAAGACAAAAAATGGAAAGAAAAAGTTCAAAAGAATGCTCAGCTTTCTTTTTGTGGAGAAAGGGAAGCTTTTCATCAAGAAATCGTCCTTCGAGGAATTCAACCTTGTTTTCTTCACGGCGGAGCCCATGGTCTGTTTTGAAATGCAACCAAGTCAGCGAAGATTTTGCTGAATTTTCAGGTACATTTTGCACTCTATGGCCAAGACAATTACGTTTTTGAAAGGGAATTTATGTATTTTAAAATGTTTCATAGACGTTTTTTAAATATTTCTCTTCGGCGCTAAAGAAAAATTACAAAATGTGCCCTGATTTGAGATGGATTTTGTGTTGAATTTTGCCATGTGCTTAGCCGATGTCACTTGCGTGAATGGATCCACGATCCAGATAGTGTTTTCCGAATTGCTTAACTTAATTGATTAACTTTTTGGACTTTGAATAAAAATTTTCAAGAAACCGCTTCTCTGTCTACTGTTTTGAGTTTGTTCATTCATAAAATTAGCTCAAAACACAATCGTGACTACAACATCTAAGTTTCATTTAAGCTTTTAAAATGCTTCTCACATTCATTACAAGCATCCCTTTTTGCGAAGATGTCAGGTTCAGGTTTTGGACACTTTCAATACGCAGCTAATGAATTTTATTCGAAAATATTTTTCACTGTTTATTCTAGACTTTTAACATAAGAATTTTAAAAGCCTATTTGCAGTATAAGTTTACTGTGCAGAGGGTCAACGAGGCATCGTTTTTTGAAGAGACAACTTCAAGAAGTTGTGAGGCCGTGAATGGGTTTCATAATGTTACGTTTGGCCCGGGTGGTACTTAAAGGCAATAATATCCTGTTCAGTGTTTCAGTAATATTCCTGGTTTCAACCTTTGAAAGCTTTCTTGGCTTTTGGGAGTTTTTCCCCCAGTTTGTCGGCCGTTTTTTTAAGAGGGCGCGGGAACCTAAAGGAAAATTACGTCACGTTGTTTACGAAGTTTGATTGGTCAGTTATCTTTTCTTCTCGTTCCAAATATGGTACTTTCTAAAATGAATAATCACGAGCATCGGACAAAGCAAATGCAAACATATGAGAGTTACACGTTTCAACCCCTTATGAGTTTCTGGTAGCTACCAATAGAAAATTTGAACTTGTCTTGACTTGCAATTGTTTTTTATTTAATAATCCGACATATAGATAACCTACCAGGAAGTAATGTTTCCAAGATTATTTCACATTCTTCAACCTCATCCTTAGCACCTTCTGTCCTTGAATGCAAGAGTCTTAAATATTCTTGAATTGAATCTGGCAAGTCACCTTCCTTTGCCTAAAATCCATTAATGAGCAATAAGATCCATTTTTTTCATTAACGGCAGATGCATGTCCACAGTAACTTAGGTTCTGCAGTACATATTATTCGCACAACAAGGTTTATGGTCACTTCTTTCCATCAATTTATTCAGCTAAACATTACTCCTGTACTTATTTTATAGGCAAAATAATGATATTACTTTCTTGACTTGAGGGCCGGTTAGGCTTTACTACGGATTAAAAGACACACAAACAGCATGCCAAGAATTATGTTTCATGTCAACTGAATCAAATACAATGGGCCATTGCATTTTATCTCCTTAAACACCTCCCCCCCCCCTTCCCCCCCACCCCTCACCTGTTAAGAAACCATGGAATTCTTGAGGGGATTTCTTTAGGGGTAGAGTATAACATTAAAGAATTCTTTGGAGTTGGAGCTTTGATTTTCACTAATTTCTTCAGGGGTAGGACCCTTATTGTTTTGAGGTAAACGGGTAAGAAGAAAAGGTAAAAGGTAAGTCCTCAAACATTTGCGGATATTAAATGCAATAGCCCGATGTGCGTGTAGCATAAGCACTAGCTGATCCAAGGAAATTACTTTTACTGTTTCAGGTGCAAGCTGTAAGAGCAGCTGCATGCATAGAGTACGAAGACAAAAAAATTACCCTGCACATCATGCATGATTTAAAAGTACATTGTCCTTTGTATATTTAGATCGATATTCATTGAAATTTACAAAAGCTTTAGAACCTTACAAGCTCAAACTTAAGCGTATGCATGCAAATTTTTTATCCACAAACGAATGAAGAATATATTTTTGTCGAAAAACAGATATTGAAAAGAACCAAAAGGAAAAATCTGTTGATGATGTTAGTCAATCAAATTAAAGTCTTAATGTTGTTAAGTTGTAATGTTACCTCGATTGTAGTCGTCTGCAAATAATCGTCCTCAAAGTCTTCTACATGCAGCAAACTGTCATCTTGGAGCGCATCTAGTTCCCGCTGAATTTCAGCTTCAATATCCCCTTCTTCATCATCCGAGATGCATTTCATCTCCCTTTAGCTTAAACCATACTATTTCCCTAACTCAAAGGTTTCTTTAGGGTATTAAACCCAATATTTTTTGCATCAAAACAATGTCTTTCGCCAACAAAAATGGCGCCTTGTTGTTACATGATGTTGCTATCGCCAACAATAGTACCGCTGTCACAGTGATATGTGTATCCCCGTGATATGTGTATCCCCGCACACATATCCCTAGTGATATGTGTATCCCTCCAATATGGCTGCCAGTGAAATGTGTATCCCCTACCCCCCACCCCTCCAAACAAGTGTCGGTTTTATTTCTGTTGTTTTTGTGAATTTTGCGAATCATCGTCAAAGGGACTACAAATGACTCAAGATTACGAGCAACACAATCGACAAAAGAGCAACGATTCGAGACAAAATAATCGCAAAGCTGTCTCTGCGAGTTTACTTCTTCGTGGGCCGCAATGTTGATGTAAACATTCGTTCTCGCTCCTCTCCTTATCCAGCGTGATTATAATTCATATGTCACTAGTCGCGTTAAATAAGTATGACTGACAAAATTTCATTCAGCAAGGGATAACTCGAAAAGTAAAAAAATAGAGAGGGGATACACATATCTCTGCGCTGGTCCAGTGATATGTGTATCCCCCCGTGCAAGCACCATAATAATCCACCTTTTAAGTTGTTTGATTCCTGTAAACCTAGTTGTATTACTAGCTGTTCTGATACATTATATGGGCGATATTTCCTTTAGCAAGAGAAGAAAAAACAGGGGATACACATATCGCTGCGCCGGTTCAGTGATATGTGTATCCTTCTGCGAGCGCCACAATATTCCACCTTTGCATGTTGTTTGATTCCTGTCTTAACCCTAGTAATAGTTGTGTTACTAGTTATGTTAGATGATATCGATGACATTTCCTTTAGCAAGAGAAGATATTTCCTTATTGTGTCGTGGATGAGCATCAGTGTTTATTGTATCCCCACCCGGGATACACATATCACTAGGGATATGTGTATGGGGATACACATATCACGGGGATACACATATCACTGTGACACCGCTCTACGAGTCGCTGGCTCAAGTCACAGGAAAACCTACATGTAACGCAAGCGTATTGTCTTTACCCCAGGCCCCGGTTGTTCAAAAGTTGGATAACGCTATCCACCGGACAAATCGCTATCCAGAGGATAAGTATTACGAAAACCAACTGCGCTATCCTTTGGATAGTAATTTATCCAGTGGATAGTATTATCCACTTTTCGAACAACTGGGGCCAGGTATATAGGATTCATATGGAAAACAAAACACTTCGAAAAAAGCTCACCTTCTCAAAAAAAGAGACAGTACAAACCTGCAGTGTTTGTGCTATAATTTGTGTCCTTGGGTATTTTTAAGGCGATCTAGGCATATTTTGTTACCCTTAGTCCTTATCATCCGCTTATCATTTTCGCATTCCTCGAGCTGTATCCCGGATTCCAAATATCCCAGTGGCAAAAATTTCCCTCATTCCGGGTTTACGGGCAAAATTCTCCCTGATTTCGGAGTCTGTATTCCTTAAAATGGGGCAAACTCAAGGTTCGGTGTAGGAAAACTTAAGATACTGGCCGGGCCTGGGTAGCAGGCGCCTGGGAGTCATATGGGTGAGGGAAGGAACGGGGGCACGCGACGGGGACATGTTCTTTCTTGATCATTATCAATTCCGAGCGCTTGCTACACAAGCTAAGATACTGGTTGCCAGATGAGGAAATTTTTTTTAATATCCTTCACTGAATTTTCTTTTTCCGCGGTAAAACCCGTCGATTAACGAAATGAATTACCAGGGATTGCTTCTAATAGCTCCCACTTCCGAATAAGCTTTCCCCAGACTTTGTACTTCTGCCGTATCAATAAAGAGGTTAGGCTCCTTATTTTACGTCGGTAAAATATAACAAACCTGAGGCCGATGGCCATTTCATTCCTCTCCCTCCATCAGTGCTCTGTTTACGGGTATCTAAAGCTACACGGAATCGAGAAAGAAGTCGAAACAAGGATTTGAGGCCACACCTAGCGAACAAACTCAGAACCTCTCCCGCGCACGAACAGCCTCACACTAACCGAATGTGCTAAAGAAACCTCTTCACCATTTGAGGCCTTTGAAAGTTGAAAGGAGCTATATCACGATTTAATTTGTTATTGCTAACATCAAAATTCAGATTCTTATTTTTTGTCCCTGTAGGTTCCTCCTATAGAAGTACAGAATTCCGAAATACGGGTGCGTTCGATTGGGAAATCCGGATTTAGATTTTCGAAATCTAAATCCGGATATCCCAATCGAACGCGAAATCCGAAAACAGATTTCACCTCCGAGAAATCCGTCCTCAGGGAGGATTTCAATTAAGAAATCCAAATCCGGATTTTTTGGATTTCCCTTTTTGTCGATCCATTGGGAAATCCGAAAAGGATTTGCTAAACTGTTCTCGTGAACAGCGGACTATCTTGTGCTGCCAATGCGTACGCATAATTAGCACAAGATAGTCCGCTGTTCACGAGAACAGTTTAGCAAATCCTTTTTCGGGCGACAAAAAGGGAAATCCAAAAAATCCGGATTTGGATTTCTTAATTGAAATCCACCCTGAGGACGGATTTCTCGGAGGTGAAATCCGTTTTCGGAGTTCGCGTTCGATTGGGAATTCCGGATTTAGATTTCGAAAATCTAAATCCGGATTTCCCAATCGAACGCACCCTAACGGTCCCCACGAAAATAACGTTAAGTTTTTATCTTCCTGCAACCTCGTTCCCAGGGTTCTCTCCTACCCGAGGGCGGGTAGGAGAGAATCCCACGGGTAGGAGAGAACCCTGGGAACGAGGTTGATCTTCCTATTGAATCCGGAAAGTAACGGCCTGCCCGGAAGTAGCGGCCCGTCGAAAATTACCACTCAGCTTCAATAAAGTATTGTATTGAATCTGATGTAACTTTTAAAGAAGAACCGTCGATCTACGTAAACACCACTTTTATAAAGACTGTTAAACGTGACGTATGTCTTAAAAATAGAAAAAAAATGTCGTATTAGGAACGAGAAAAAAGCCTCTTTTTAGTTATTTTTAGTGAAAGTCAACTATCAGCCTGTACCATTCATAATAACGGATCAATTTAACAAGGTGATCATCCTCGGAGACCCAGGGGGAGTCAGTCGGGTCTGGAGAAAAGGGGAGACGAGAAAGTTTTCAAGCACGCGTGTTAAAATCTCTGGTATCGTAGTACGAAACTGTCTTCAACTAAACAACGTGAAGAGTCAGTTGCGATTATCTCGAACTTATCTGAATCCTTTTTTTTAAAATTATGCATGATTTAAAGTTGTATATTTGTCAAATGATAGAGCTACACCGCGATTTAATGCACCTATAACTGACTTTCGCCCTATAGTACTAACGCCTCAATTACCGCTTTGTTCATGTGGGTAGTAACATGCATAAACGGAATGAACTTTATATGCTTAAGAAAATTTGGAAACAGCGGCAAATGGTGCAGAAATTTTCCTGCAAAAGTTTTCAGAAATTCCGGAAACTGTTGAATCTCCGAAATGCAAACAATTCAACCGAAAATAACAGAAATTCCGGGAGCAAAGTTGAATGGAAAGAAAACTTCCGCGAAAAAAGAAATTCGAAAATGTCGGTATACCTCGCGAGGTTGTCCTCTTTTATGGCAATTTTGGTAAAAACTGTTCCATTCGCTACTGAAAGTTGCCGAAAATTCAAACCAGATGTTTAGATTGAATGGAAGGCACCCAACTGATTTCCGGTCAGATTACACATCTCAACTGTGAGTGTACGGCCAGGATGGAAACGGATTGCAACTTTATACAAAATGGGCCACGTTTTTCAAGGATAAGCTCCTGTGTCGTCAAAAAATGTCCAAGAACCGATGATGCTTTGTTTCCCTTTGATAGAATCACTTGGTGTCTTTCTTGTAGAGTTCCAAAGAGACGACTGAAATTATTACTTAGGGCGTGTTCCATTGATCGTGCGCCGGAAAAAGAATAAATAAAATTAACTCTTGAAATAACTCATTCTGGCGTTCGTTGCTTTGCAATAACTAGAAATCTGTTTGAAATAAGATATCAAGTGGCCCAAAAGTCATGGTCCAAGAAATTTGTGACATTTGCGTCTTCATATTACGATCAATCGAACACACCCTAAGAAAATGCGGGAAACTTCTTATAGCCACTTAGTGGCTACACTAATCAGGCGCGGACCCACACCGGTTTTCATCGTTTTACGAAAATCGGTGAGATTTTCATAGTAATAGTTTGGACAATTTTTTTTTCAGTTTCATTTTCCGGGCATTAGACACGCTGTGAGTTTTCAAAGCTTCATTCGTGGAGAGTGGAACTGGCCAATATCCTGTCTGAATGACTCACAAACCCAGGAAAGGGGACTTCAGGGAGTTAAATTCCAGGGGAACATCTTCTGCACCCCTCTAGACGCTTGCACTTTTGGCGCTCGTTCAGGAAATCGGTCAGTATTTATCCTAGACCCGCGCCTGATTAACCCGTTGCACTGAACTTAAAAAAAGGAAAATCAAATGAAAGCAACAACTTTTTATTTAAATTCCAAGTTCATTCTTTATCTAATTCATCCCCTGAATTAATTTAATACACGTTCAAATTTTGCTATAACTTTGTAAGTAAATGTGATATGTTTTCACAAAAATGGAAATAATGGCGACAAATAGTGACTTTTTAGTTTTACAAGTAATTTATATTATTTTAATCTTACCTAACCTTGGCTTAAACTTTAAGAAGCCTTAAACTTACGCTGAAAACTTTATATATATATATATATATAATTTAAAATTCTACGGAAAACTCCGTAAGTTTTTTTCCACCAAAAACCTATTACAGGTCTAACAGACAATGTACTGTAATTGAAAACGTATACGAAAATGATATTTTCATACGTGAAAATAACATGTTTTTTTACAGGTGGAAAAGAGCACTTTGCCATGGGATATATGCTGTTGCTATGGTTATAGTTACGCCAGCAGCAAAAAAAATATATAGTAAAGTGAAATGGAAGATTGCATGGCCGCTTGCAATCGGAGATACGAAATTTTCCTTCTCGCGTTGAAAAATATTTCACTCGTTTTCACCAGTGACCTCGGCTCTCGAAGAGAAATTTCGTATCACCGCGCGGCCATCATGAAATATCCTCTATATATGAACTATGTCTTTAAATGTTATTTGTAGCCTTCACCTTTTACTCTTCTTATATTTTTTTTCTTTTTCAATTTATTATTTTTTTCAAGGAATATTCATCTTCTTTTAAACAACAATATTGGCAAACGCGGCCAAATAAGCCATATAACTTAATGTGATACAGAGTTTTTCTTAGGGACCTTTAAGATCCAAGGATGGCGACGGCAACGAAAACGTCGCTTATATGTAAAAAGTGAACTCGCGTTTTTTCAATCCTTATCGCGATTATTCCCACTCACTTTGTCAAATTTAGGCGAACCATCCCGCAGCTAAATTCCTAGGAGCCATATCCAAGTCATGTTCAGAGGGAGAAACAAAATTCGTCGTAGCTTGCTTACGTCCCCTGTAAAACGTGAAATTGGGCATTTTCACGTCGTCATTGTGCAGCGACAGCAAAGAAATGTACAGAAAAAGTGTCATACACGCTAAGATGCACGTTGTCGTAGCCGTCGCCGTCGTCGGATCTTAAAAACCTAATTCAAATAAATACCCCCGAACTCGATAACCTAATAGCTACACCGTCCCGCAACTTGTATTCCCTGCTAATATATACGGGGATATCACGAATTTTTTTTACTTGTACCATTTTTCCTTATTGTAGAATTGAAGACGAACGATATGTATCAATGGAACCGACACGACAAGAGCAATATATCTTGCGTATAAAAATAATTGCCTGTCCCCGCTATTGTGTCGCGATTTTTTACGTATGCGCGCGAATAGAGTGTTTTTAACTCGACTTGAACTCTTATAGTAATTCTTAAATATATTACAACTAAAATACTTTCAATTTGTGTCCTCTGTGATGTAATAAATGTACAGAATTGGTTTATTTTACCTTAAATTTTCCTGGACGAAATACTGTGGTACCTCACCGTGCGACCATCTGTCAAGGCAACCGAGTATCCGAAATGAAATTTCCGTAGTCAACTCATGACTGTTGCGACCATTTCTTAAAAGCGACCGCGACCACCCTCTTGTGGTGACAGCTTTTATTATTTTCTGTGAATTGTTGTCAACCTCTTTGTAAGCGACCAATTGACATGAGTTCGTTATATTTACTAGGCAGCTCAAACTATACAAAGAACATGTATGCACATTTCACTCGAAACACCATTATCTTTTCACTCAAAATATTTCGCCGTTTCTGGTTGGCTCCCATCCCCCCCGGTTACTTCTCAACTGGCACTCACCATATTTGGAAGATGTGAGCAATATCCCATCGACTCGATGGTATAAATTATGATATACCATCGATCAACCTCCTTTCCAGGCGCGGCAGCCTAGCTTTTTATCCACGAGTGAACTGGAAATAAAAAGGCGTTCACGGCCATCCAAAGATGAAATAGCTAAATTTCTAACTAAAACTGAACGGAAGACATGCAAGAATACGAAACAAATATCGCACGATGGATGTTATTTACCTTTTGAGCAGCATCTGCAAGGTATAACATCAGTTTATATCCTGAAACAGTGCCCACAAATAGGCCAAAGTTTTGAAGAAAGTCTACGAAGAGGTATGATCAGATATACGCTTCTTGAATGAATAATAAACAATTATTGAATTTAGCTTTCGTACGATGTGAAAAATTATGCAGATCTCGGAGGATGTTATCCAACCTCGGCCTTCAGACTAGGTGGATAACATCCTCCTCGATGTGCATAATTTTTCACATCCTAGTCAGCCTCATTCATTCAATAATTGCTAATTAATTCCTTTAGAAACCAGCCCCTCTACATCTACATAATGCAGTCTTACATCACTTCCGGCTGTACGTCGTCAGATAAACTTGAAAAACTTACCGCTTGATTATTAGAGTTTCGAGTCGTAGTTCACGTAAGTAAAAATCGATTTTGTGGTTCACATGTGTTAACCAACGAAACAAACGTAACCTCTGTTTTTAGACCCGTGGCATAGAAGTCGGATGAAAATAAATGTCGCTAAAACGGCAAAAACACCATTTTCTAGTCCATAACTTTTCCTGACCGATGGGAGTCCTGTGGTAGTCTAAATTCGAAGTGAAATCTATCAAAAGAATAAAGCTTAACCTCTTTAGAACCGTCATATTTTTTAACCCCAACCAACGCCCATACATTCACTCTTGTTTTATCCTTTCCCTAACGGGCGCTTCTCCACATCTGCAACGGCCAGTTAAGGGTCAGGGGGACTTAACGACCTTTGTCTGTAAAAAAAATAAAAACTGTTCAATTATCGAAGGAACAAAATTAATATTGACTAAAATTGTCTAAACCTTGAGAAAGGCTGAAAATTTCGAGATAACCGTTCCACTCGTCCTAGATATTCGGAGTTTTTCTACCAACTTGCCTAAGATTTTCGGAAGTTGCTTATTTTTCAATATTTGTCACCAAGATTTTGCCGTTACTGTTAAAAAAGTCTCCTGAAAACTTCGGTTTAAGGACAAAGCGCCCCCTAGCGTTTTCTGACGAAAGTAAGGTCCAGCTACTCCATGTCCTCGAACTTTCGACCGGACCCATCATCGGGGTAGCTAACAGTTTCAGATACCACGAAAAAGCCAACACCACAGCTGAGATATCCGAACGGATAAATAGTTTTTTAGGGGAGCTCCAAATTAACCAAACAGGCATCCAAACGGAAAACCATTTGAGACACTTCTGACGTATTTGGAAACAATCGGTCGCTAGGTGCCCCTGAAGTACGTCCCAACAACGACAATTTCTTCTCATTTTATGAAAATAAACATTTGTTGCCATATCTCCCCCAGGTGCCATGGTTCCCGCACCCTTATCTCACCATAAAGGCCCACGTTCCAGGGACCGCGGAGCCTTCTATTGGGGTTAAGTGGGCCCTAGCCCCACCAATAAATTCACCAAGATTTTTTTTTGGCATATTTTACGAAAGTACTTGTAATCTTTATGTTAAAAGCAAACACAATTTTCCTTACTCTCAACGTACGTTTTTGTGTAGAAAACTAACGGGATAGTGATAAAAATAGGACAAAATTAATCTCAGAATTGGTAGAAATAAACGGTTTTTTCTGGTAATTTTAGAAGCTCTAATTTTCAAGCTTTTCCGAGGGAACAAGCCCCTTGTCCTTTCCAGATAAATTCTCGCCTTCAACTCCGCAGTCCCTGCGTTCTGCCACCAAGGAAGCTCTTGTAAAGAGGTTTGACTCTAAACAACTTTGAAAACACCGGCTGTCGAACACCCTGCGTTTTGAGCTTCTGGTGAAGTGACATGGGCTGAAGTTTCAGCTGACAACACATCAACCCAGTTTTAAGAGCAAGCAAAAAGTGGTCAATAGCAGGAGCCAATAGTCACCATTTCTAACACCTGTAAAGCTAGCAAAGTGGACTTAAACACTCCACTGCACTCTGTTGTGTATGCCTCCTATACAAACAATGGATCACTTCAGCCGCCTCGACGCACCTTCGAATTCTCGTTTAACCTTTCTTTTTCCCCCTTCACTGAGACGAATTGACGATAGAGAAACTTGCGCGTTAACCTGTTTTCTAGGCTCCCTCGCCGCTATCTCTGCATCGGAAACAGGGCCCCATTTCTCGTATCCTCTCTCCAACTCATGGTACAAAGTGAGCTTCGTTTGGGTCCCGCTAGAAATACATGCCTTGCGTTTTCCCAACACGTTTGTAACGTTATTAGAGCTGCACTCAACTTTCACAGCCGAGCCTTCGCTTAACTACACACAACCTTCTGAAGAGACGTTTGAAAAACGCCTTTTATCGTCTCTTACCCTTGTTCCTTTTTTGAAAGGCACTTTTCGAGATGTACTATTTAATCCCATCACACAAACTTGATCACTACCTCCGGTAAGCCACCGAGGGAATGACGAACTCTGATACATTTTCTTATGAGATGTGTTCATGTATTCAACAAGCTTTCCTTCGCTTCTCAATACTACACTTTTACCCGGTCTATGTATTACCTTCTCTGGGGCTGAAAATCTTCTTCTTGGAGAAGAACTGCATGAGTTCGACGCATTTTTATTCGCCTGAGAAAAGTCTGCACTTAACCTGCTTCTTACTCTTGGTGGTTTAAAAACAGGTCTTCTCCTGTCCGGAGACGAGGTTGTAGAACACTGGCCCCTATTTTCTCCCACGTCGCCTTGCGAACTCAACGTCACAGGTGACACATATGAGACACTTGTCTGACGGTTCCCACAGCCTGAAACTGAGGTCTTTGATTGGTAGAACTTCCCATGGGACACTGAGGCTAACGAAATGCCCATAGTTTTCATTTGCTCTCTGCAAGCAAGAAGTTTCTGACGTGTGGAAGCTTCTTTCAGTTCTAGTTCTTTTGAAATTCGTGCCGAATCTTTTATCTGCCAAAGTTCAAAGACACTGACGTTTGAATTGGATACAGAATAAGGAAGACGACGAACAACATCCACTAAATAATGCCTAGCAACTTAATCGCATGTTCAAACATGAGCGCAGTCATCCAGAAAAAAAGGACAGGGCATTTATCAACAATGAGGTTTGACTTCGCTCCCGTCAGAATGGTTATGAGTCGAAAAATGAGTTGCACAGGTTTTTAACATGTGTTCGTTAGCTTATCGTAAAAACAAAATACGAGAGAAAGCAAAGACAAAACATATTCTAAAGAATAACAGTTTTAAACTATCATTGAGCGTTAGTCCTTGATGACTTCTAAATAACCGGTCTAAGCGAAGAAAAAGCCAAATGAACACCACTCATTCCAAGTGATGCACACTACAATCACTACATTGGATGCTACAATCCAGGACAAAAGTTCCTGGTATAGTACAGGAATATTCATTTTTTTCTGTCATTTCTCTGTTCCGCCTTAAAACAGTGCATCATTTTCGAATTTTCTTACAGTTCTCCCTCCCCCCACCCTATACAAAGTTGAAAAACGGAAAAAAATCTGGATGCACGCGTCCAAAATTGTTTGTGGGGTGAGGGGAGGGGTTGGACCTGTGTAAATAGGAAAACGCCCCAGAAACTCAAAAGTGTCCCAAGACTTTTGTCCACGATTGTAGCTGGGTAATTGCGACTCTTCTCTAGCATGCGCTACAGACGAAACTAAAATGCGAGTCAGCCCCGAAATACTTGTTCTGGGCTCTCAACGATGTACCAGGATTTGAGTAAGCGCCATGATTGGCCTGTTAAGAATAGCCATCGTTCGATAGGCCAATCAGGTTAACGGCAAGTTCGAAACGCATTTCCGATAAGTCGTCGAGTCCGTTGGGGGCACAGAACAAGGATCTCGGCGCTGCTTCTCGAGACGTTACTAGCCGCGGATAGATTGCGAATGTCACGCAAATTACGTTTTTTGCACTTGGCACCGGTTTTAGTTTCTCATACCTCGCAACATTTTCCGTGATAAAAGACCGTCTACTGCGCTTTTCATAAACACACGAATTCTGACGTTTGCGTTTTTCGCTGCCGTAAATCATCTTAGCGGACCTCTTAGGAAACAAGTTTAATGCAACGGGTTCAAAAGCTCATGGTTTGTGACTGGTTGATTTCGATCCGTTTTGGGTGTTTCTGTGTTTCAACGTTCTTTGCTTGTGATCGTAATTATGATTGACGGCAGCGAAAACGTAATTGTGAAGGCGGTTTTTGAACTTCAGAGTTCGCGTGTTTTTTAAATGCGCAGTAACTCATTTTCCGGAAATTTTCTCGCAAATAATCGCCAAATGGCATTCCTTTTCAATGCGAGTAGCCGGTATCACGAGACAAGTCAGATTAATTTCTGATTTACTAGTATCTGCGATCGAAAGAAAATTGAATGTGACGCCATTGAACAAACCTGGCTATCAGGAGCAGCACCACAGGAAGGTTCATCGGTTTTAGTTCCTACCTCCCGTTTGTGAATGCAAACAAGAGACTGCTGCTCTTGATCCATGCCCTTCGAACCTGCCAACTTCTTCTTTACTTGGGAGAGCTGTTCTATAATATCCCGCTAAATAGAGACGGAAAAAGGAAAGCTTAATCTTAAAACAGTTATCAGTATAACAAGAATTATTGGCTTACCTACTGTTAGGCAACTTTTTTCACACAAAATTGCGTTTGAACATCATACCGAATGTAATCCTAAAACGAACAACCATAGGCATACATTCGTACGGATCATCAAAGATCGGTGGCCAAGAGATATGAAAAAAACTAAAGCATTACGACATTGTTAATGTTAAACTTAGTGACAAGCAAAATTCATCACGGTTATTAAAACTGACTTTAGCATTAAAATTGACATTTTATCAAACTTAAAATGAGAGTTAGCATCAGTATTATAATTACCAATGGCGCTAACGTTGGCTCCAACATTAAAATCGGCATTAGCATAACGATTGGTATTGACCGTAGCACCAACAATGTTATCGCCAATTGCATTAACATCAGCTGCCATAGACATTAGCATTAACATCGAAAAACAATAACATCACCATTATCACTAATGATAATAACGATTCTCCGAACCTGTCTTTTTTGAAGTTGCATCTCGACTATTTTCTCATTCTCCAATTCTTCTGGAACCACACCCTGCTTTACAATCATAACAAGGCGCGCCCGCTGCTCAATTAATCTGGACTCAATCATCTTGCTTTTGTTCCTGTAGAGAAAAAACATTTTCACCAAGTTTGTTGGACGAGTAACCACGGAAAATTTCTATTTTGGTTGGTCTCTTTACGACCTTTCTGGAAGAGGGGGGTTACAAACGCTACCTATTGTGATTTATGACAAAAGAGTCCTTTCATGGCTGAGTTTAGTCTCGGGTTAAGGTCTCGTCGAGTAAGCTTTCCAGTACCCTGAATGAAGAAAACAACTGTATGAAAACTGGACAATGTCACGCCAACGTTTAAGAACGTTGGCGCTGCATAGTCTAGTCAATTAGGGAGCAATTTTGTCGGGGAACCAGAGAAACACCTTAATCCCCACCACCGCCCCCCCCCCCTCATCTAGAAAGCTCGTAAAGAGACCAACCAAAATAGACCATTGAGAGAAGGCTCTCCGTACACGCATAACGGCAACTGATTAGATCTTACAGACCCTACAGGCATCAGCAGCGTTTTCGTTCGCCATCCGCTGCTGTTTATTGTTTCTTCGTGCTTACTGAAACCATAAGCGTTTAGATCTAACACAGTAGTCATTTTAGCTACTTACAAAAGAGTCTCTCTTTGTAGTTCGAGCCTGGAAATTACAAGCGATTTCTCAACAGTTTGAATTCTCTCTCCCTTTGAGCAAATGTCTTCGTGACGTTTTCTTTCTTTAAAAGTTGTTCCTTCATTAGTCTGCGTCGAGGCCTCTTTCTTCCCAGTCTCACTCGGCTGACGTGGTACTGCGGGGCTCTCTGGGAAGGGCCTGTCTTCAATGGGCGTGGTTTCTTTGTGGTCATTGTCGAGTGACGTTGTACTGGTTTGAGAAATACTGCAAGACAAGTGAGTTACAGCAGAAACTCATAAGGGGTTGAAACGTGTAACTCGCGTTCAATGCTCGTGAATATTCACTTTTACCATATTTGGAAAGCTTAGTGACAGATATCCATTTTCAACAAAATGGCTGCCGCGCGATCACCATGCAGGTGTTTTAAGACAAGAGTTCTGCATTTCAGGGTTAAAAATACACCGTTGAAAGACAAAAAATGGAAAGAGAAAGTTCAAAAGAATGCTCAGCTTTCTTTTTGTGGAGGAACAGAAGCTTTTCATCAAGAAATCGTCCTTCGAGGAATTCAACCTTGTTTTCTTCACGACGGAGCTCATGGTCTGTTTTGAAATGCAACCAAGGCAGTGAAGTTTTTGCTGAATTTTCAGGCACATTTTGCACTCTATGGCCAAGACAATTACGTTTTTGAAAGGGAATTTATGTATTTTTAAATGTTTCATAGACGTTTTATAAATTTTTCTCTTCGGCGCTAAAGAAAAATTACAAAAGGTGCCCCAATTTGAGATCGATTTTGTGTTGAATTTTGCCATGTGCTCGGCCGATTTCACTTGCGTTAATGGATCCATGATCCAGATAGTGTTTTCCGAATTGCTTTAAAGGATTAACTTTTTGGATTTTGAATAAAAATTTTCAAGAAACGGCTTCTCTGTCTATTGTTTTGAGTTTGTTCATTCATAAAATTAGCTCAAAACACAATCGTGGCTACAACATACAAGCTGTTAAATGCTTCTCACATTCATTACACGGATCTCATTTTGCGAAGATGTCAGGTTCAGGTTTTGGACGCTTTTCGATACGCAGCCACTGAATTTTGTTCGAAAATTTATTGTTTACTGTTTATTCTAGACTTTTAATATAAGAATTTTAAAAACCTATTTGCAGTATAAGTTTACTGTGCAGAGGCTCAACGAGGCATCGCTTTTTGAAGTGACAACTTCAAGAAGTTGCGAGGACGTCAATGGGTTCCATAGTGTTAAGTTTGGCCCGGGTGGTAAGGCAATAATATATTTCTGCTCAGTGTTTCGGTACGATTCCTGGTTTCAACCTTTGAAAGCTTTCTCGGCTTTCGGGAGTTTTTCCCCAGTTTGTCGGCCATTTTTTTAAGCGGGCGCGGGAACCAGACATAAAATTACGTCACGTTGTTTACGAAGTTTGATTGGTCAGTTATCTTTTCTTCTCGTTCCAAATATGGTACTTTCGAAAATGAATAATCACGAGCGTCGGACAAAGCAAACATATGAGAGTTACACGTTTCAACCCCTTATGAGTTTCTGGTTACAGTTGACAGTTAGTGCGAGCAGAATGATTTAGCGACAGTTGACGATGAGGTTGCAAAGGGAACTGGGTCGGTAATGCATGAAATTGCACCGTGGGACTGTTTTTGGGGAGGAACTTTGAACCAGTTTCCTGCGCAAACTCGAAGTAGTCAATAGGGAGCTTAACTAGCAACGTTTTTTAGGGACGCACGCAACTTGAAGTGAGCTTTTTTCTCTTTTCAAATTTGTATGGCTGTGTCTTTACTCTTATAGAGACTATTTGTCCAAACATTTGTTAAAATGTCGGCTCAAGAGTGCAAAAAGGTCCACTTCCGGTTGACGTGCATTGCTGAGAAACGTTGCTTCTTAAACTCCCTAAGAAAAGAAACGGCAGCGCCCCAAAAACAGACCCATAATGCAATTCGACAAAACAATAGGGAGCTTAAGCAAAGGCGTTTTTGAGCGACACACGTCAACCGGAAGAGAGGCCTTTTCCTTTATAATGCGACTTGATGCTACGAAATATGTATTGCTTAGTGTCTTTACTCTCACAGAGACGATTTGGCAGAACATTGGGGCTATTCCACTGCCCATGAATGAAAAAGGTTCACTTCCGGTTGACGTGCGTCGCTAAAAAACGTCTTTGCTAAAGCTTTCTAATGACCCAGTTTCACGCGCAATAACAGAATGGTTACAAGATACTTACAAAAGAGTCTCCCTTTGTAGTTCCAGCTTGGAAATTGTAGGCGAATTCTCAACAGGTTGAATCCTTTCTCCTTCCGTGCTGATGTTTCCATCACGTTTCCTTTCTTCAGAAGTTGTTTCTTCATTGGTCTGGGTCGAGGCTTCTTCCTTTCCAGTCTCACATGGCTGAAGTGGTACCGAGGGGTATTCTGGAGGCGGACTGTCTTCAATGGGCGTGGTTTCTTTGTGGTCGTTGTTGAGTGGAATTGTACCGTTTTCAGTAACACTGCAAGATATTTAACATCAGTGAGTCACAGTTGAGGGTCATTGAGAGTAGAATGATTAAGCAACAGAACGGAAACGTCAGTTGACGAGAGAAAGCGTGCGTCTGGTCACTGTTGTCGCGTAGTCTTTGCTAAATGTGCCCAGTAACTTCATTCGGCAAGTTGTACTTTTGTTCTGACTATGTTCCTATAGCGTGAGGCTTTATTTCTGACTCAACATGTTATGAAAAAACCTTCGTTGCACATTAGAAGACAGACAGACAATTACAACGCCACATAACTGAACAAACCATCGACGATACACAATTCACAGCCTTTAGTAATGACTCTTGCATTGGCTGTTGAAATATCGAACACTAGGGAGCTTAGGCAACGACGACGGCGGCGACAACGAGATCAGGACGGCAGAATAGCAATAGGTTTAGGCTATGTCCACCCTATATCGGATACCTTTTGCGTTAGCACAGAAACTATACCGGATAAAGCACTGTTCGCACATAAGAACGGTGATTTCGGCGCGATTTCTGTAACGGAGAGAAGCTGCGCCGCGCTGCATACTTTGGTGCAGTGTAAACAGGTTATCGGACCCTAGCAGAAGTGAAAAAGCAGGAGCGAGGAGTGTAATCCACTGAAACGGAAGCAAATATTCAGGAGTGAGGACTGGGATTTACTTCACCAAACTTCCAGCCAACTGCTCCAGCACGATGTTTGATGTGTGTCAACGACTTGTTCCAGTTCTGTGCCGGTGCTGTTCATACTATACTTATAATCCCTACTCTCACCAACAGCCCTGCACAAGACCAGACTTATCCGGACGATCTCATTTAACCTGATTGGACATTATGCCATAAGCCAAAGATTTGGCTCTAATATAAGACTCATGTGAATCGAAATAGCTCACTGTCACTTTTCGTCTCAATCGCACCTGCCCGACTGATGACTGGTCCATCCCTGAACGTTGCGTTTGATAAATAAAAGACACGGGAAAATCAAGGATAAAAAAAAGCAAAAAAAGAACGCTGTTAAAAAGCGGTAACTCTGGCTTGTTCATTGGAAATTGGATAAGAAATGAGGAGGCGATTAATTCTACACGAAACAGGATTTCCTCGCTTTTTTTCACTTCCTACTTTATCGACCGTAGGGTATTCTTCAGGATATTTCCTTTTTACGTCGTATTCGACGATGATTGAGTACGCGTGTATAAATACACGAAAAACAATTCCCGAGAAATTACATCAATGCCAGCGGACCAAAAACGCGATGAACATGGCGCATCATTTCAATCATTGCCGAAAATAAACCGCAAGACTCATTTGCATAAAATGAAAGTTTACAACACCCGACCAGTTTATAGCCTCACCATCGAAACTTTCACTGAAGTATTCACTTGTTCCAAAGCATTCAACGCTTTCAAGCGATAGAATTCGTGGACAGACCCTTTCCGGAAAAGCTCGACATCTTTCGCATCAATCTTTCCTAATAATTCTTCACAAAATAAAGTATGACGCTGTGACACCAGATGACACGTCGCGATTCTTATCCCTATTCATTTTCCACGGTCTCCGCTAGGAACGCCAGGGACCAAGAGCCCCCTTTTGGCGCGCAGACACAAAAAAATGAAACGGTCGCATTTTCAGAGTCTCGCTGCTAAAGCAAGCGAGACTAAAAAGGACGAACTTGAACTCGACGTGCGTATCCGCCATTACCACTCAGCAAAGAAAACCAACGACGTCAACCACAGAAACACTGCTTACAGTTCGAAATACACAGAAACAAAACTGTGAAGTTACCAGTGGAAAGGTATTTTGAACAAAAGTTAAAGCACAAGAAAGAGCGAGTTTCCAAAACATCTGTCCTACAATGGCCGAATTTTGTGATGTGGTATCAACCTTGTTATTCAGCCTGGAATCAGGCTAGGATTTCACGGTAACAAAAGACAGAAAAGGCAAAAAACATAGTTAAACACCAACAACAAAAAATCGGCGAGTGAATTCAAGCCGACATTTTGGCTCTCGCCATTTTTTTTTTTTTTTTCGCCTTCTTTCCCCCACTGCGAAGCCTGGTCGCAGGCTAGGTTAGCTTATATTGCGCATTTGTGACTGGGATTGGAATGTGCGAAATGTCGAGCTAGACACCGCACTGCCTTGCAGCCCAGATAATACGAAGTAAAATAAGAGAAAACGGCTGAAAAAACAGAAAGAAGAATCGGTAACCAGTATGTTAAATATTAGAGGGCGTAGGTGACGAGGACGGCAGCGACAGCGGCAAAAAGTAATACGTTTAGCAAAACATCAACTTTTCACGTGCATCACGCTTTTTATACATTTCTTTGTACATTATTTGTACATTTCCGTCGTTGCACGACCACGACATGAAGTTGCCTAACCCCATGTTTTCTGGATTACCTAAACACAAGACAAAGATTTTCTTTTTCTTTCCTTTAAACTAAGATACAGTGCTTGAGAATTCAACTCCAAAATCACCAATATATGACAAACTGAACGACATGGAATAATAACTATGAATAGCGTGAATTCGTTTTTTAGGAGACGTTTCTGCCACCGTCTTCTTCGTCGTCGTCGTCGTTGCTTAAGCTATCTCATGTCGGTACAAAGTGAACACACGAACCTGTGTAATGATACGTCAACTGAAGATACATGAGCCGGCGGAAGCTGCGCATGACAATTACAATCGTTTTCCCACTCACTGACCAGCGGCGATGCGGTGTCACTTCCACTTCCAGTACGCAAACCACTGTCCCTCTCGTCTCCAGACTCCATCCCATCATCTTCCAAATTGAAAGCGCGGGCTCTGGACTCTATAAACATTTGACGCATATGAAGGAGGGCGGTACGAAATTTGTTGGATGTGTTGACCCCTGAGACAAGAAAAACTGCATGTTAAAGGAGCTTCGCCAGTATTTCTGAATATTGAAAAATTAGCCGAAAATTAGTAAAGCTTGTTTTTTCTAAACCATGTTTATCTCCCCTGTAATGAACCATCCGGGTGTAAAAAAGTCACTTTTACAGCTTGCCATTCGGGCAAGTTGTGGCTAACATGTACTAGCCCAAAAGTCCTCTTCGAGTAGAACGAAAAGCAACACTGATTACAGTTCTTCTGTAATTAGAATTCCCAAAAAACCTTCACTTGTCCTTCGGGTAAGTTAAGAACAGAATTCACTAGCCCGACAGCAAAATCTACTAGCCACGGGTTATCGCACAGTACTTTCTTTGCAAGATGACCATCTTCGACGCTTAATGTTTACAATAAGTTATTTCAGAGAAGCAAATAACAGTCGGTCACCAAACAATGTCCGGTCCGGTGTCCGACAACTTTTCTGCTCGTTTTTGCGACGAAAACACTAAGCTGGTCGGACATATGTCCTTTCAAAAAGGAAAAATCCTTTGCAAGCTTGTGTTTGATGCTGTTTAATATATTTATCGAACTAATATTTTGATCTTTTTTTAAGATTCCTTGCAAAGTTACGACCCAAAATACCGTGCTACACTTTCTTTCCTCCTTTTGCTCATCATTGGTTTCTTAAAAGTTAAGTAATTAGTAATTTGCATACAACAGTTTTTTAAAGTTGTTACTTTATATTTCATTTGTAAATTGGGTCGGAAGATCCTTACTGGAAGACTAAATAGAGTCTATTGTGTTGTAGAGGCGAAAGTGAAACAATCCAACCGAAAAATTAAAAAGGGCGAACATTCCACTAACACAGCAATCGCACCATAAAACAAACAGCGCGACTAACAACCATCTAACAACCACAAAACTAAAAGGGCACTAGTTATAAACATAGGATTCAAAGAAAAAAAGAGAGCGCTGGCCCCTAACGTTGTTATCAAACAAGGACGCGTTTGTCACTTACGTAAAGATCGTAACAATCAAACCATAAAACCAAGAAGGCGCTTATCACTTGCACAACAATAAACAAGAAAACCAAGAACGCGCTTCTGATTTGCGCAACAAGCAAACCATAAAACCAAGAACTCACTTGTCACTTGCGCCACAATCAAACCATAAAACCAAGAACGCACTTGTGACTTGCATCACAATCAAACAATAAAACCAAGAACGCACTTGTGACTTGCGCCACAATCAAACAATAAAACCAAGAATGCGCTTGTGACTTGCGCCACAATCAAACCATAAAACCAAGAACGCACTTGTGACTTACGCCACAATCAAACCATAAAACCAAGAACGCGCTTGTCACTTGCATCACAATCAAACCATAAAACCAAGAATGCGCTTGTGACTTACACAACAATCAAACCATAAAAACCAGAACGCGCTTGTGAATTGCGCAACAATCAAACAATAAAACCAAAAACACGCTTGTCACTTGCGCAACAATCAAACCATAAAAACAAGAACTCGCTTGTGACTTCCGCCACAATCAAACCATAAAACCAAGAACGCGCTTGTCACTTGCGCAACAATCAAACCATAAAACCAAGAACGCGCTTGTCACTTGCGCAACAATCAAACCATAAAACCAAGAACGCGCTTGTCACTTGCGCCACAATCGAACCATAAAACCAAGAATGCGCTTGTGACTTACACAACAATCAAACCATAAAACCAAGAACGCGCTTGTCACTTGCGCCACAATCGAACCATAAAACCAAGAATGCGCTTGTGACTTACACAACAATCAAACCATAAAAACCAGAACGCGCTTGTCACTTGCGCAACAATCAAACCATAAAACCAAGAACGCGCTTGTCACTTGCGCCACAATCGAACCATAAAACCAAGAATGCGCTTGTGACTTACACAACAATCAAACCATAAAACCAAGAACGCGCTTGTCACTTGCGCCACAATCGAACCATAAAACCAAGAATGCGCTTGTGACTTACACAACAATCAAACCATAAAACCAAGAACGCGCTTGTCACTTGCGCCACAATCGAACCATAAAACCAAGAATGCGCTTGTGACTTACACAACAATCAAACCATAAAAACCAGAACGCGCTTGTGACTTGCGCCACAATCAAACCATAAAAACGAGAACGCGCTTGTCACTTACGCCACAATCAAACCATAAACCCAAGAACGCGCTTGTCACTTGTGCCACAATCAAACCATAAAACCAAGAACTCACTTGTCACTTGTGCCACAATCAAACCATAAAACCAAGAACTCACTTGTCACTTGTGCCACAATCAAACCATAAAACCAAGAACTCACTTGTCACTTGCGCCACAATCAAACCATAAAAACCATAACGCGCTTGTCACTTGTGCCACAATCAAACCATAAAAACCATAACGCGCTTGTCACTTGTGCCACAATCAAACCATAAAACCAAGAACTCACTTGTCACTTGTGCCACAATCAAACCATAAAAACCATAACGCGCTTGTCACTTGCGCCACAATCAAACCATAAAAACCATAACGCGCTTGTCACTTGCGCCACAATCAAACCTTAAAAACAAGAACGCGCTTGTGACTTACGCCAGAATCAAACCATAAAACCAAGAACTCACTTGCCACTTGTGCCACAATCAAACCATAAAACCAAGAACTCACTTGTCACTTGTGCCACAATCAAACCATAAAACCAAGAACTCACTTGTCACTTGCGCCACAATCAAACCATAAAAACCATAACGCGCTTGTCACTTGTGCCACAATCAAACCATAAAAACCATAACGCGCTTGTCACTTGTGCCACAATCAAACCATAAAACCAAGAACTCACTTGTCACTTGTGCCACAATCAAACCATAAAAACCATAACGCGCTTGTCACTTGCGCCACAATCAAACCATAAAAACCATAACGCGCTTGTCACTTGCGCCACAATCAAACCTTAAAAACAAGAACGCGCTTGTGACTTACGCCAGAATCAAACCATAAAACCAAGAACTCACTTGCCACTTGTGCCACAATCAAACCATAAAACCAAGAACTCACTTGTCACTTGTGCCACAATCAAACCATAAAACCAAGAACACACTTGTCACTTGTGCCACAATCAAACCATAAAACAAAGAACTCACTTGTCACTTGTGCCACAATCAAACCATAAAACCAAGAACTCACTTGTCACTTGTGCCACAATCAAACCATAAAAACCATAACGCGCTTGTCACTTGCGCCACAATCAAACCATAAAAACCATAACGTGCTTGTGACTTACGCCAGAATCAAACCATAAAACCAAGAACTCACTTGTCACTTGTGCCACAATCAAACCATAAAACCAAGAACTCACTTGTCACTTGTGCCACAATCAAACCATAAAAACCATAACGCGCTTGTCACTTGCGCCACAATCAAACCATAAAAACCATAACGCGCTTGTCACTTGCGCCACAATCAAACCTTAAAAACAAGAACGCGCTTGTGACTTACGCCAGAATCAAACCATAAAACCAAGAACTCACTTGTCACTTGTGCCACAATCAAACCATAAAACCAAGAACTCACTTGTCACTTGTGCCACAATCAAACCATAAAAACCATAACGCGCTTGTCACTTGCGCCACAATCAAACCATAAAAACCATAACGCGCTTGTCACTTGCGCCACAATCAAACCTTAAAAACAAGAACGCGCTTGTGACTTACGCCAGAATCAAACCATAAAACCAAGAACTCACTTGTCACTTGTGCCACAATCAAACCATAAAACCAAGAACTCACTTGTCACTTGTGCCACAATCAAACCATAAAAACCATAACGCGCTTGTCACTTGCGCCACAATCAAACCATAAAAACAAGAACGCGCTTGTCACTTGCGCCAGAATCAAACCATAAAACCAAGAACGCACTTGTCACTTGCGCCAGAATCAAACCATAAAACCAAGAACGCGCTTGTCACTTGCGCCACAATCAAACCATAAAACCAAGGAACGCGCTTGTCAAATGCGCAACAATCAAACCATAAAACCAAGAACGCGCTTGTGACTTGGACCGCAATCAAACCATAAAAACAAGAACGCGCTTATGACTTGCACCACAATCAAACCATACAAAACCGAGAAAGTACTTGTGACTTGCGCAACAGTAAAGACCATAAAACTAAGAACGCGCTTATGACTTGCGCAACAATCACATTATGAAAAGAAGATTGCGCTTGAGATTTGCGCGACAATCAAACCATGTAAAACCAAGAGCGCGATTGTGACTTGAGAAACATTCAAATCAAAAAACCAAGAACACACTGGTAACTTGTAACCTGTTTCGTTTGGCATTTGCCCAATGAACCAGCTCGTGTACATTTCCATAAAACCAAGAACGCACTTATGACTTGAGTAACAATCAAACCATAACACCAAGAACGCGCTTGTAACTTGCGTAACAATGAAACCGTAAATCCAAGAACGCGCTTGTGACTTGAGAAACAATCAAACCAAAAAACCAAGAATGCTATTCCATTGTTTTTAACCTCTTGTAAGCGACCACTTGACGCATTCTCTGATCTCTATTTTTGCTATGTGGTATAAACTGGATTTGTTTACTGCAAAAAATTAATGATGTCAAGAAGAAAAAAAAACACGGTACTGTATGCATAGAGGTTATTCCGTAAGTGTACTTTACCATGTGCGACAGGATCATTGATTCTTCCAGCCATAAATGAACTCATCACGTTAATACATTGTTGTTCATGTCCTAAGTCACCCCCTAGCGGGATTGAAACCTGCTGAGGTGCCTGTAAGGTTTAAAAAAACGACTAGGTCAAATCGCAGTCCCAAGACCCTAATTAGCTCACATGACCACAGAATACCCAGTATTCAAATTATGAGGAGTACGACTCAGTGGTTACGTTGAGCTACAGGGATCCCAAGCGGTGTAGGTTAACACTGTTTGGTTTCTATAGCCTTTAGGGCCTAAGAGTAATCGGCGTCAAATTTCTCATGGTAATATCAATGCTTTACAAAACATATTGCTGACGAGAATGAAATTAAACATGGTCAAACAATTTGAATCTAATTTACACTAACAAATTCTCCCCACTACTTCTATAGGAAACTTGTGGTGATAACAAATGAGAATCTGAATTTTGATGTTACGGTTTTAACCCTTTCACTGCCAGAGTGTTTGATAGAGTTTTGTGAGGAAACGCTAACTTTTGAGTTTGTGGACGAAATCCTATGATGTGACCATTCACATGAAAGCCCTCTGCCTGTACTTTCACATGATGCTATTTGTTTGTCAAAATTTTAGAAAGTGAAATTTGGAAATTTGGTCGAAAGTTGGCTTCGGCCACATTTGGCAGTGAAAGGGTTAAGGGTCAAATACATCTACTTCTGTGATGAGAATAAAGGAAATGATCACCAAGGTTATTGATTTTAATTCACTTCTCTTCATCAGCTCATCAGTACCGTAGCAAATAATTATATGCGGATCAAGTCTCGAGGATATGAGATAAGAGGGATTCGAGAACAACATAAAAGCAATTAAAAAAAAATGTTAACACTTTGGTATGTTCTCTGCAAAACAAGAACTTAAAAGGATCCAGGTTACTCAGATGTTCGTTATTTTGGCAAAATTCAGCAAATAAATAGCTTTTATATTGTTTTAATCATTTTTACTTCTATAATGTTTCATTTACAGTGGAATACCTGTGAATTAGCCGGTGAAGTTTTCTTTTTTAACTAACCCATGTAACTAAGAGTATGCGCCACTTAAAATAAAGCATCTTGTATTATCTTAATCTCTGAATATGTATCAGCAGGTTTCGGTAGCAGACAGGACTTTATTGATCTGGCCCTTGGAAGCAAAGTAGGGAACAACAGCAGCTCCAACTTTAGGCCTGGCTTAAACTATGGAGTGCTCGATCCCAGGGTTTTTATGTGCTTTGGCAAGTTAGTGAAGATGTCATTAGCTCCTGCGTAATCTTCGGGAATGCACTTATACTTTATACGTTGTCTCAGGATCCGTTCAATCAATAACGATTGTTCGAAAAACTCCCATTCGAATCTGTGTTGGCAGCGAGTTGAAAGTCGAACAGATCATACTGCTTTATTCTAGAGTTTTGACCACAGAAAAAAGATGCCTGAGGTAACACATGTTTTGACTTCAGCTCGCCGGGCTTTGCCCTAAAAAGGTCGCCGCGTTATGACCATACAGTGGCCCCTTAAGTCCTATACATGTAACTCACAAAAGAATAAGCGAACTTCAACAAGCACATACCTTGTAACTGGTCAGTTCATAGTGAAGTTTTCCCAGTTGAGTCTGTAGTCGTTTTATCACCACATCTTTGTCGACCTCTACATTTTGTCTAAGGAAAAAGTAAGGAGTTAGCCATCGATGATTAACACTTCACTGACGCAGATAGTTAATTTTGCGGGTTAAAAGAAAAATGGGCGCAATTCCTCGGAACTATCATGTCTTGTTAAAAGTTGAAGCAGGATTGAAGATTACTAGGCTTTGAACAGTGTGGATGATATAAAAAGCGAACCCTTTCGCTACCGAAACAGAGGAGCCACATTTTACCATGTGAGAGTACCACTGAAGAGGTTTCATTTGAATTGTCACACCTTAGGATTTCGTCCACAGATTCAAAAGTTAGAGCCACCTCCCTGACTCCTTCATTCACCCTGGAAGTGAAATGGTTAGAGCATCTCCATTGCCATGTTTACTTCATTTCTCGAATTTCGCGCCAGAACTTGTCCCCAGGATGTTCGGCTTTTTTTGATCTCGGAAACCGGGTTGATATTTTTTCTTATGAATCCAAGGCGGAATTGTTCCGGGTAACCAGGCCAGCCAGGTCAACCGAGCTCATGTGAATAGACCCTAAGGCTATTTCACACTATAGCGGATAGCTTTTCGTGCCAACAAGAAAATCTACCCGGTATAGCATTAACACCTATCCAATATGTCAGGGGCACCCAACGAGGCCTTTTTCCTATAAATACATTAAAAACACCTTTTAGGCTATCCAGAGTATCTTCAGATATCTAGAAATGCATTCTAAGCGGGGCTATAAAATTTGTACCTGTTCGGTCATCCTAGGGCAAATTTAGTAATTTCGAAATTGCAAGGGCTTCAGCATTATTTTCCCGAAAATTTTAGCTGCAATTTAACGTTTTACGAAAGTAAGAAATTTTCTGATTCCTCTCTCAACGCATTTTCGAGTCCGAAAATTTTAGGTTTCCTTGCGCTTAAACTGGGGAGAGAAATACAAGAAAATTAACTTCAGAAAACCGTTGGGAATTTATTAGATAAGCTTCGAAAATTGTACATGAGTGGAACAGTTATCTAGAAATTTGTAGCCTTCCTCAAGCTATAGGAGATTCCACACAGTAGGCAATTTTTGCTTCTCCGAAAAGATATTTTACAGAAAACAATCGTTGGGTGCCCCTGATACGTGACTCTCCACTTTAGAGATCGGCGGCGCGGTGCATCTTCGCTTGATTACAGAAATCGCGCCCAAATTGCCATTCTCATGTGTGAACAGAAATTCTATCTGGTATGATTTTCTTGCGGGCACAAAAGCTATCCGGCAAAGTGTGAACACAGCATAAGTTCCCTATAATCTCTTGTGCAGATGTTCTTTTGTCCCATCACGCAGTCCTCCAGGGTTGCGTGAGAGTAGGTAACTCATCAAGCAATCCTCCAGGATCCTGCCATGACTCAAAACCACGACTACAAACCATATATAAACTACCCGTTAAAGAAAAACAAAACCACTTACCTTGGTTCATTTACAACTCGAGCAACCTTTTGGGCAAATCTGCATGTCAAGATGGTTTCACTTAAATTTTCCTCTTCCAGAGACAAAGCTGCAATCATGGCAGCGTTACTATTCCCACCTGAAATAAAGACCAGCAAAGCATGAAGGTCATCCGCCTTTTTGTCCCACCCACTCCCTGCAACTTGTTTGGCAACGTGGTATCAAAATAACATTCAAGAAATAAGTTGCAGGAAAAATCTCCTAGTGAAACGGGGACTTCTATGAGAGGGAATAAAATATCTTTGGCAGTACTTTCACAAGATACTATTTATTTAGCAAGTACTATGAACTTTTGAGTCTTTCGCAGTCAAAATCCTATGGTGTTACCATGAAAATGAAACCTCTCTGGCAGTATTTTCACATGGTACTATTTATTTAGCATGACGTTCTCACGTTTGAGTCTTTCGCTTAAATCCTACGGTGAGACCATTCAAATGAAACAGGGGCACCCAACGTCAATTTGGAAAATATCTGTTCGGAAGACGATTTGAGATATAGAATTTTCGGAACATTTTTTGTTTCTTGCTTGCCTGCCTCTCCTAGGATTTTCCAACATCTAAAAAATGGTATAATTGCCCATTTTTAACGGATTTTTACCCTAAAAAGGTCACCTAAAATTTTCGGGAGCCTTTTTCTGGCTGAAATTTTTGAAAAGGTAAGTTCTGATCCCTATAATGTTCGGATCACTATACTTTCAGCTAGGAAATCCGAACAGATGAAAAATTTTGGTGGGATAAAAATATGCCTACATCTAACCGTTTAAGTACTAAAATACGTTTAATAATGCTATGTTTAAGTGTTTTTGAACTATATTCTCATTGGGTGCCTCAGATGAAACCTCTTTGGCTGTACTTTCACCTGGTGTAATTTTATTTAGCATGATGTTCTAACGTTTGAGTCTTTCATACTTAGGTACTAAATTCTTTTTAGCATTTTTAACAAAATGAAATATGAAAATTGTGTGGAATTTTGAGTTGGCCTACTTATAGGAGTGAAAGGGTAACATTCACTCAGTTGTAGGAATCCTTCAATTGACTCACCTAAACTGTCCTGTAGCACCATTGTCAGTAATGAATTCCTGTAGGGTAAATAGCAAGGATTATACCCCACCCCAAAAGGTGACTGTCTTCCTTGTCTTCTTCCTAGCTGCCCAGTGCTTGCACTCTTCAACAGACCATACACTCTTGGCATCTCAGCAGCTCCTTTGTTTTGTGGTTGCGGCAAGAAAGCACTTGAGCCACGATTCAAGCATTTTGCAGTCTGTTTCTTTTTGCTGTCTGTTTCAGTGTTTCTGGGGTGAAATTTCTGCAGGGCAGTTACGACAGACTCCAAGTGATGAAGAGACAAGTTGAAGAATCTTGCTCTCCTGATATCTGGAACATGTGATTTCCACACTCTTTCAGACCCTGCCAGGTCCACCAAGTGCAACTTGGATCTTAAGAAGGAGAGGTATGAGATTTATTTCAAGTGAGACCTCTTTAAAGTTTAAACATACATGTAAACTGACAACAGAATGGCAAACTCACAGAGCACCAAAAATGGTCACTCTCTTGAAAACAAAATATTTTCAATTTAAAAATCAAAATAACAATATATTGTAAAAAGTACTGCTCAAAATTGAATAGTCTCACCACACAACACCATCCAGACTTACGGGTATAATGATTAATATGGATGATAATTAGTTGTCTTCATCTACAGTTTACAAGACAGTGTAAAGCTGGAAAACATTCCTGACTAGATAAATGTGACAGGTCACATTTGATTTCAAGTTAATTCAATTCAATCTATACGTTGATTCTCAATTTCCTTTCTCTCCTAGTCCTAAAAGGTTCCTTCACTTTGAAATCAAGTCAATTTGTTTCAACCTAGGGCAATATATTTTTTAAGGTCACTTTTTCCTATCAAGAGACAACAAAGAGAATGTCATTATACCATACTGCAATGCAGGATGCAGATGACCAATGCAAAAGAAAAAGGGCACAACAAAGTGCCCTGTCCAATAGCCCAGGGTTGAGTGACCTGTTGCGCTAGTTAACAAGTTCTTACTATGAGTTATCTAGCAGGCAAACACTTTTTATTTCCTGCTACAACAAGTTGAAAAATGTTGAGACACTCCAACGAAAAACCGGCCTTTCTTACTACAAGTAGCTGCTAGTTACACATCTGTGAGATAATTTAAAACACTCACCCCCTCCCTCCCCTCCATTCATAGTTGTTCCTCCATGTTCTGAGCATGGTCTTGCATTGCTAGCAACTTTGACAGGGGGAGGAAGGTGAATCACAAGCACAAGATCATGGACAGGCCATTTAAGCCAAAGTAAAGTACATTGTCTCAAGTATTTTTGCAACTGGTTGTGGCTTCTCATAGTTCCAGGTTAGTAAACACCAGCAACAGCTTCCTGCATTCTGTTCCAGTGCATCCTTGAAGACCCAGGGGCAGTCAGTTGGGTTGGCAGAAACTTCATCCTTCAAAACCTTAGCCGTGTCATTTCTGCCGATGTGACTGACTGCCCCTGCATCTCTGACAACTGCTACAGTGAGCACATCCAATAAAACGAGATCAAGACCTAGACTCCTTTGCTCACAGGAATTTGGAAACAGTCTACACCACATAAAATGTATTTCCATACAAACCTGATAATGATTTCTGAACCCCGCTCTTGCATTGCAAGTGCAACAGTGAAAATAGAATGCGACCTTGAAGATCTTTGATTGACAGTTGTGTAAGCAGCCTTTTGATTTGCCAGTCCCCATTGATACAGACTTACAGCTTCCTTTTCTGATGTCACAGCATGAGAAGAAAGTCCATGCAGGTGGCAACATCCCTTCCCGCCCATGTAAGTGATCAAAACCTGGGAAAAATGAACAGTAATACATTTGAACCTCCATGTGTGCCCACCTCTAGTAAGCGACCACCTATCCAAAACAATTAAATTTTCCCACTCAAAGCCCTATAATAAGAACCCTGCGTAAACAACCACCTCTTATAAGTATCCAAAACCACTCTTTGGTCTGACAGTTTTACTTTTAACCTCTCGTAAGTGACCATGACACATGATGTGCTCTCTATGTTCCCTTTTTGTACTACACCAATCAGAGCATATAAAGAAATTTAAATGACAACTTGGAACTATGGGTATACATAACTTAGAAAATGGATGATAAATTTTCTCTTCCACAAAGTTACAAAAATACAACTGATTCAAAAAGCCCCCATTCAAATGTATAAAAATGAATTTGAAGTTTATTCCAATTATTAAAGTGGAAACCTTCCACTAGTAACCAACATCAGTGACTGGTAACCTCCCATAAGCAGTCACCTACCACAAGTGGACACACCCTAAGTGGATAACTTCTTATAGTAGACACCCCTATAAGCAGATACCACCAATAAGTGGATATCTACCACTAACAGACACCTCCCATTAAAACATACATGTAACGCATTAGTGGATACCTTTCATTGGTGGACAATTCACTCTAGTGGACACCTGCCTCTAGTGGAACCTCCATTGGTGAATACCTTCCATTAATGGATACTTGAATTCCATTAGTGGATTCCTCCAATCAGTAGATATCTCTCATTAGTGGACACCAAGTACATCAAGTACATTAGTGGAAAAACCCCACTAGTGGATACCTCCAATTAGTTACACACCTACCATAAGTGGACACCTCCCACTAGTGAATGCGTTCCATCACTGGATACCTCCCACTAGTGAATAGTTCCCATTAAGTGGACACCTCCCATTAGTGGACACCCCCATTGGAGGATACTTCCCATCAGTTGATACCCCCCACTGGTGGATAGCTCCCATAATAGTGGATACCTCCAATTAGTAGCACCTCCCATTAGAGGATACCTCCCATTAGTGGACCTCTACATTGGTGGACACCTCCTATAAGTGGATACCTCCCATTAGTGGACCCATCCCATTAGTGGTCTAATTAACAATTATTCCTCTAGCCCGAATGGGCTCAGAGTCAATAGCCCATAAGGCTGATCCCATTCGTGAATAGCTCTCATTAGTGGACACCTCCCATTGGTGGATAGCTCCTATTCCTGCACCTATCCCATTAGTGGACACCTCCCATTAGTAGACAGCTCCCATTAGTGGACACCTCCCATTGGTGGACAGCTCCCATTAGTGGACACCTCCCATTGGTAGACAGCTCCCATTAGTGGATACCTCGCATTGGTAGACAGCTCCCATTAGTGGACACCTCCAATTGGTGGACAGCTCCTATTAGTGGACAGCTCCCATTGGTAGACAGCTCCCATTAGTGAAAACCTCCCATTGGTGGCACCTCCCATTCATGGATAGCTCAAATTGGTAAACCCATCCCGTTTGTGGACACCTCTCATTGGTGGACAGTTCCTATTAGTGGACACATCCCTTTTGTGGATAGCTCCCATTAATGAACCCATCCCAATTAGTGGATACCTCCAATTAGTCTACACCTCCCACTGGTAGATACCTCCCATTAGTGGATACCCGGCCGCATTAGTGGAAACCTTCCATCACTGGTCACCTCCCATTAGTGCATACAATGTTAAGCAGATACCTGTCATTAGTGGATACCTCTCCCTAGTTGACCTCTTATCTCCCATAAGTAGACACCTGACATTAGTGGACACCCCTAATAATAATTATTGGATAGCTCCCATTAGGGGACACCTAATGGGACACCCATTTGTGGACACGTACCTCCCATTATTGGATACTTGCTAGTAGTGGATACCACTAATATGTGGACATTTCCTATTATATTAGTCAATGCCTCTCATTGGTGAATACCTCACATCAGAGGACACCTCCCATCTCCGATAAGAAGGCACCCCCCGTAAGAGGATACCTTTCATCAGTGGATTGGTCCCTTGAAGATTGAGGTCTGCTTACTGGAGGTTAAGATGTTGCATAATGTTCTTACCTTGGGCATCTCTCTGTTTTTCTTTGAACCATTGAACAAGAAACATCCCAGAAGATCATATGCTGTCTCCCTGTATATTTCAAAGAATGATATGTGAACAGTGAATGCTTCCTGTTGACTATGCTGTTGAATTTTTTGAAAGATCAAAGACAGGCTTTGAGGAATGAGTCCTGCATCTTCAGATCTGAAAAAAAGAATCAGAGTAATCACCTCAGACAGTTGGTAATAACTAATTTACAGTTGAATCCTGATTTTTTTCATAACTTGTTTTCCTGAACCCTACTACAATAGGAAAACTACATGTACAGTAAAAACCCGCATGTAAGAACCTAGCGGTTTACAGGTTTGGGGAGCAACAATGGCACAGTGTTGAGAACACTCTCCTCCCACCAATGTGGCCTGGACTCAACTCAAGAGGTCAATACCATATGTGGGTTTGAGTTGGTTGTTGGTTCCTAGCTCCTTTACTCCCAGAGGTTTTTCTCTGGGTTCTCCGGTTCTCCCCTCTCCTCAAAAACCAACATTTTGAACAATATTCCAATTTGATCAGGAATGGTAGACAAAGAATAACTTTGTTGATGTGCTCTCTCTCTAAATCATTGTTTATTATTTTATTGAGTGACGTAAAACCTGATGGCAGAAATTTGTCATTTTCATAACCAAAAATATAGGAACCTGATCAAGCAGATTATCATAAATTATGTAGGTTACAGTTAAATTATGATAAACGTTTTAACCACAGAGTTTGACTTAATAATTGTACACTATCTTCATTGCAAGAAACCACTGATAGATATAACACTAAATTAACGTACATTCTGTATAAATCAGTTTTAATTGTTAGGCTTATCATGATACAGTTGTGAATAAATACTGTATATTTAAGGAACAAACCCAAGTTTATTTAATAAATATAGGAAAAAGAACTATATCTCCTTCTCAGAAAATATGAGCCTAATAAAGAACCTACTTACATGTAGCCTAAGTTGCCAATAACTATACCCAAAATACAAGAACCTATTTTGCAGACTTAAAAAAAACAGGTTCTTACAACTAGCAAGCTAGCCTAGGTGCAGATGTCTATACCTCTTCTTTTTTTTCCTTGCAGAAAAGGGACCTTTTCCCTGTTGACTGAGCAACAAGGAAAATAGGAGAGGTGTGCATGCAGGCTGCTTAACAAGGGGGTTTTGTAGTCGCTGAAACCAAAATACACTTTTTTAATTTCATTGTTTGTGATTAGCCTTATTCTTGATAAGGTTACAATTTTCAGTGGAATATTCTCTTTCAAAACTGGACATTTCACCTATGTATCTATTCTCTATTTTCACCAAGACTAAAGGATCAATACCCCTATCAACTTAGATTCTCGGTTGTGTCTCAATTCCTTCTTACAAGAGAAGGGGTAGAAAGCGTAAGTGGGACTACTGTGGCTCATAACGCTGTTTGAAGACTGTCTGATAATATTATAATTTGGAAAAAATAAATTGGTTTACCAGAGTCATTTTATGCCGCTGAGAAGGGGAGATAAACAAAACCTGCATTCTGGTTGGCTACCTGTGAAAGCGGATTTCCTGCTTTGGTCCCAAAAGAAAAATGACCTTTTTGCCATGTAATACATCCTTTACTGACCGAAGATAGCCGGATATTGGCCACGCGTTTTTATTTATTTTTAGCCCAGATATCATCTGGGTCCATAAATTGCAAAAAAAAAAAAAAAATTGGCCAATATCCAGCCATCTTGACCTTCCACTTTATGAAAAACATATAGATTAATGTGTATTACATAATACGCACTTTAATTTTCACAAACCCTCAGCAGGGGCTGTGCTCTAGAAGAGCCCAGTGGCAGAGCCCAGTGGCCCCTGGTGCCTAACCCTCACAGACTAGAAAAACTCAGATTTTTCATACAAATCAATGCTGGGCACCCTAGATTTTACAGTTTCAGAGCACTGGGCTCCCTTCAATTTTCCTTAGAGCACAATGCTCAGAGACTCAACACATGTCGCATACTTTGATTGATGTGACTTTTCCAATTGTCAACAAAAACACACAAACATCAAAATTAATTCCCAAAGCCAAAAGTGTTGATTAAATTGATTAATCAATTTATTGATTAAATTTATTCAAAATCGAGTTTCAACTGGATTCTGCACCAAGGATAATTTCACCAGAAAAAGAAACCCAGATAGAACAAGGATATTAACTTAGAACAACCATGTACAGTATATGAACCGCATGATTCACATGCACCATCACTGAGTTTTCAAATTACCACGTGGCATTTCCTTACATAGCACATGAAAATTGTTTGGTTGCTTAGTTATGTCACACGCTCAACAAAAATCCATCATTTTTTCCTTCCTGTGTGATAAATCATGCAAAGGAAGACTCTGCTCACTTAAACAGGACAGCCTGAAAATTTAAATTATTATAAAACCTCTTCAATATTTAAAAACAAGAAATTTGGAATATTTATCTCAAATTAACAACAATACATAACTTACATTTTTTCAAAATCAGGGCTGTCATTAAGAGCCGGGGGAACTGGGGGCCGGGATTTCCCCTAGCTACTACTATGTGGTCCCTGGCTACTTTCATTGGAAAATAGAAGAAAAATAGAACCAAAAGAAATCCCTAGCAGCTTGATTCTCCGCCTACTTGTTGCATTTATCTGGCAACCTAAAATCCTAGTGACAACCATGAAAAGGATCTTTCCATGTACAGTATTAAAGTAACAAACAACATTCCAACCATAAGACAAATATTTCACATTTCAGAACAATCCACTACAATATTATACAACAGATAAATTGTGTTGAAAAAACTTGTTATAATCCTCTTGACCATAATTTTGCCCTTACAAACACTGACAATATTTATGGAATACAGTTTCTGTAACTGCAGTCTTACATGTACCTCTGATATGTTGTACATCTAACAATCTTAACCTTAGAAGTAACCTGTCTGGTTTGTTAATATTGTTGGGCAATTTTCCCAACAACAATTGCAATGTAGCTGATGAAAGTGATGTTTTTTTCAATCTTACAAACAACTAGTCTTTTATATTATGATCATATGACAGCCTGTCAAAGAATGACAGCGAACCGGAAATAGTATTCACATAGTGGCTGTTTTTTTTTTTTTCGTTTCTGACAAAAAACAGCCATCTTGCTCACATGACCTCAATTTGCAATTCCTTCCTGTCACTGCATAATTTTTTGTTAACTTTTACTTGACTTACTGCAGTAACCTACAATGTAAAACAGTCACTTTGTCACAATCTACTGTCTATCCACTAATTACAAATGTACAAGCACAATAATCTGCTACTTAACGACACCTAATAGCAGTTGATAGTCTGGCAACACTCAGAGCAAAACAACTAAGCAAAAATAGATCAAAATGGCACTATATTTCGATCCATCTGCATATACAATGAATAATATTTCATTTCTTTATTTACTTCTTTGAGTTGACTTTGGCATTTTTTTCCTGAAAAATAGTTGATATAATTATTATAAGGGATAAAATGTCACTAATTATGTTCACTGGAAACTTGCATGCAATCATCTCAGCTATTTTACTGCAATTGGTGTTGTTTTGCAAGTGGAAAATTCTGCACATTTGTAAGTATTCAAATATAAGAGATTTAACAAGCTTAAATGTAGTTACTCTAGCTTTGAAGAAAGAAAAGAGTCTTGTACAAAGGTGTCATAGTCATAGGATTATGTTACAAAACACAGTGCAACTTTCTACAGCTGTACGTACACTAACTCATTTATGACTTCTTGAATAAAAGTGTCTATGTTCTAATTACCAAATCCGGGTTGCTCGAAGCATGTTTAGTGCTAACCAGCGTTAAACACCTTGGAAGCCTATACATTTTGATACGTCTTAACCAACGGTTAGCGCTAACCAGGCTTCGAGCAACCGGCCCCAGGAGTTTGGAATGCCTAAAACTTAAGCTATTTTTAAATATTTTTTGGCATGTGTGGCCGAGCGGTTAACACCTCAAACTCTGGATCTGGAGGTCTGGGGTTCAAGCCTCACCCATAGCATTGTTTCCTTAGACAAGGAACTTTACTCCACTTTGTCTCTCTTCACCCAAGTGTATAAATAGGTACCGGTGACATACTGCTGGGGGTAACCCTGGGATTGACCAGCATCCCATCTAGGGGGGAGTAGTAATACTCTTAGGCATGCTTCATGCTACAGAAACCGGTATAGGCTCTGGCCGTGTGGGCCTTTGGCTTGTGTGCGCCTTTACCTTATACCTCTACCACTTCAGTCATTTAAATTTCACTCATTATGCAATCATCATTTTACTACAGTGCTACATGTTGAGACCCAGCCACTTAGAGTTTTGAAGTCTTTTAAACTGAGAACACTCCCTTTCATGCAAATCTCTGGCTATTTTCTCAACTCATAATTGCTAAATGAGGAGATTATTAATTTCATGATAGTGGACCTTTCAGCAAATTTGAGATGCTTGTTTGTTATTAATGACCACTGTGCCTCCACTCTCAATTCAAAGTACATTATCCTCTAGATGGAGATCTTTAAAACTAATGTACATATAAAAGCCTTTTTGGGAATTTTTTTCCGGCCGCAAGTAGCGGGTAATCTAACATTACTAATAAACTATTATTTGGGAAATTTCCTATCCAAAGTCGCGCTAAAACTTGACCTACAATGACGACATGCAATTTTAAGCTGAAAGAAACTCGAGATGTCGATGTCTAGACTTGTTTGTCACTGTTCAAAGAACTCCGTATACAAAAACTAAATTGACGTTAAGGCTTTATATGTGAAAAAAAAGAAACCACACCTAATGACTTTATAAGATTCCAACATAAATAAAAGCTGCTATTAAGCAAATGCCAAATCAATTATTGATAGGAAGTAATAAATTTTAAGAAGAAGTTGACTTTGACTCAAGCTACCTACCCGTGGGAGTCATAATCTTGTAAACCTTCTGCAGGTCCTTGGATAGTGTACGTCTTTCCAGCGTTGGTTTGCCCGTAGGCAAATATTGTGCCATTGTAGCCTTTGAAGAACGCCTCGATAATGTCCTTTGCGGCCGCTTGAAAGACTTGCTTTTGTGACGAATTAACCCCGAAAACGTGCGAAAAGCTAAATCGAAGAAAGCGCTTTGGATCATGATCCTCTGTTGGAACTTGGTTATGAGATGCAATATAAAGTGCTTGATCTTCATGCTTGAACAGCTCTTGTTTGATATTTTTAGAGGGCTTTAACCGAGCAAACACCTTGATATTATTAGCCATAAACAAACCTTGGGCTATAAACAGCGTCTCCAATATTCTTCCCAAGTATGGAGCCAAGCGAGCAGCCGCAAACTTTTTCTGCAGCGAGTCATCCGAGTACCTTCTTTGAACGACAATTTATAGCAGGTAATTTAATCGCTTTTATGTGCAAAATTGGATGAACAAAAGGAATAATGATAATTATTCAAAAACGTGCCTAATATCATATCGGCAATAACCATATCAAATTCACCCATCCGCAGTGTTGTACGTGCTTCAAAAGATCAAACTGCGACAGTCATGCCCTACATAATCTGGCGGCTAGAAGACTGGTGCGAGATACAGCGGACATGCGCAATGTAACTGCCTTGAAAATGGCGACAAAGTTGCCTTGGATTTGGTGAAGTATTTTGATTCATAAAAAGTATACGTTAATTCTATATTGATTTCAGATGGAATGGAGCGTTCTCACAGGATATCTCACCCTTAGGTATTCCGCCATTCAACGACCTTTTCATCCCACGTAATGCTTCGGAAGAGATCCGGATAGACCGGGCAAATACCTGTCAGAGTTTGCTAAGAAATAATTCAAGAATTTCTTCATTTGAACATGGATCTAAACAAAGTTACCACGTACTCAGCCGCGGTCTTTGATCGTATCAAAAGCGCAGCAAAAAATGCGACGGTAACAGCTGTTTCCGCCACTGTAAGTGCTGTAGGCGCTGTAGGATCTCTCATTGGAAATCCCTTGACCAAAGACTTCGATGTTGGAAGACATGTGGCAAGTTTTGGGCCAAACTTAGCGTGGAAGATATACGAAGGGAAAAAGAAGACAACTGGACAGGTTCTCATACCTCATCCTTTTAATCTTTTGCATTGAAAATTATTTTTATAAACGGCTAAGTGATTCTTGTTTTTATTTACGCTTAATTTTAATTGGTGTTTATTAAATCAGTTGGTTGACAGGTTACCGGTCGTTTCGAAAAAAAGTAGTTTCGATACAAGTTTACTGAGTCAAGTTGTCCAAGCACATACCATATTCGGAGTGAAAGAAATTTTTGTGCAATTTCACTGCTCGAGTTCATCAGGAAACAGCTTTATCAAAAAGACTTTGTATCGAAACGACCGGTTTGTGGTTGACATACATGAAGCAGTATGTTTTGAAGGATGCTAGCAGGTCCTTTGAAAGATAGTGTCAAAATGACCATCATTCAATAATTATTCTGAGCTGAAGTACAGCACCCTCCATCAGTCATTCCCTTAAATCTAAGGGTTTTCCCATATGGTGATTTTATTGATTCAAGCACGTCATTATTTGCAATAGCCAGCTTCCCTGAGTGCTAATTGATATGGAGCAACAGGTTATTGCTGTGCTCACTGAACCATAAGAATTCATTACTGCTTAAATAAAAAAGAATATAGGACCCTTTTTCATCCCAATGTTTCTCTATGATCATCCTCAGAAACAACATGTCACCCTTTTTGACATATCTCGTTGATCACTTTTACAGTCAACTCTCTCTGAGACAGACAGCTTTGGGCCTGAGTTTCCAGGTGTCTGTTTTAAGGACCGAGGTGTTCATCTTATAGAGGTGTCTGCTAAGAGAGTCCTCTGTGTTGATGAGCAACTTACCCACAGTTCATTTAAGGATGGCAAGTCAATTTCATCCCAAAAATTTACAGAAAAATGAGGAAAAATTTAAGTCGTTGGATATAGATTAGATCAAAAGGACCTCGCAGGGGGGCACACTATGTAGATATGGAAGAGGGAATTACTTCCCTTCCATTAGAGAAGTCTTTGGACCTCCTTGGGAAAAAGACATTAATTTTAAGGGTCCTGAAAAGTGCGTTTAAGTGTATTTGAACAACCAGGAAATGAATTTTAGGTGTCATGAGGGTGACACCTTTTAGACATGGTTTTTGGCTTGTCAAATTTTACACTGTGGTACTCCTTTAATTGATTAATAGGTTATGTTGCATAAACAGGCATGTGCTAATGATAATCCCTGTCTAGTACTGGAATGATATTTTTCTTTTGGTGTACTTCAGTCACAAAAAAATTAAAAGACATCTTAATTAAGAGTTTTAAATAATTTCAGAGCTGTCATTAAGAGGCAGGGACTAGGGATTTCCCCCTGATACTACAAATGTGGCCCCGGCTTCATGTACTTTCACAGGAAAATAGAAGAAAAATAGAACCAAAAAATATCTCTAGCTGTTTGATTCCCCTCCTTCTTGTTATATTTACCCGGCACCTTGAAATCTTAGTGATATCCCTGAATTTTTTATATTAGTGCAACATTTCTTGTTGTTTTGTGGATCATCATCTCTCTCCCATATTGAATGATGGAGGTTCATAAGGGCTTTAACTTTTGATTCTGTAGACAAAATCTATTGGTGTGGCCAATCAGATGAAACCTCCTTGGCAATGATATTGCATGAGGCTATTTTTCAGCTAGCCTGAGAAAACAGACAACATTTCGTGATGCCACCAATGGGGAAAAATAACCTGAGGAAGCTTACGCCTTTTTGTGATGCCACCATCGGTTTCCCTGTGAAATGACATCTGAGAAACGAGTGCAGAAATTCCATACTGATGACCCGTCACCAACCAGATCTTGCCTTAAAAGTACTGCCCAGATCTGGATCATCGGTATGAAATGTCTGGGCTTTCTTCTTAGATGTCATTTTGTCCTCTGTTTTCTCAGGCTATTTTTCAGCCAAGATTAACATAGTCATTAAGTGGATGCGGGGACATGGGGCGGGGATGGGGGAAGTTTTCTTTAATCTTTGTGGGACGGAGTCCAGTTCTCTAACCAAACCTTTAGGGCAAAAATCAGCCCCTTCCATGCCCCCCTCATGTTACAGAGTGTTGGTTTTACTTGCTTTCCAATATAATATAAAAGCAAAACTGAAACAAACCATAACTATTATTATATTTTGAGTTATTTTTCATACCTGCAACTAACATTGTCAATTTCCTTTTTATTGCAATCAGGAAGTGGCCTTGGTTGTTCTGGAGAAGAAGCTCTTGGACAGAGTAGACAAGCGAGACAGAGATCTGGTAATGGACACAATGAAGAAGGGTCCCGTACAGCTTACAAGATTAAGACATCCTCGGCTGTTAGTTGTTCAACATCCTCTGGAAGAATCTAAGTAAGACATTTTGATTAATCTCAATGTGTGCAATTCAATCATAGGAATAAGCTGACGTTACAGGTCAAATTTGATTTCAGGTTAAAATTATTAGTCTTGATTTTCAATTTCCTTTGTTAAATCAAAATTAACCTGAAATCAAATTTGAAGTGAAACACTGACACCCTTCAGAAACAGAATAAGTGTCTGCAACTGTAGCAGGCCGCTTGATACAGGAATGGTTTTTGTAAGTGGAGTTATGCAAACAGGGTTTGTCAAGGCGGCAGCTGTAATAGAGCTCTCTGCTTATGATTGCCCATTATTAAAGATACATTTGACTGTATACCAAAATTAATAATACTGTATGATGTCACTCTGCTTAGGGATAAATTGCAGGTGAGAGATACATGCAATCTGAATCGTCTTCTTTAAAACTTAATGACTTATGCCTACATTGATATTTTACTCTCATTCAGGGACTGCTTGGCTTTTGCAACTGAACCAATATTTGCAAGTCTGGCAAACATTCTGGGAAAACATGACAACATGCCTTCTCAAATCTCTCCAGAATTTAAGGTAGACATAATTATCATTTGTCTTGTGCATGTTGTGTGTAAAGAATGAGTATGCATAGCTTCAGTGTGAGCAGCGAGGCAAATTCTTGTACCATACAGTAACTGTAACCATCAAATCTCTTTACAATAATAATATTATTGAAGAGGTGTGTGGTCAAAAGCCGCAATTGGCTTCGCATCAACTGCCAGATTTTATTCCATGCACCCCTTAGGCTGTCATTAAAGGCCAGAGACCAGGGATTACCCTTAACTACTTTTAGTATGACCTCTTGGCTACTTTGATAGAAAACAAATGGAAATAGAACCAAAGAACATTGTAGCTATTTAATTCCCTCCTCTAACAATTTAACCCAACAACTTGAAATCTTAGTGGCACCCCTGACCTCTCTAATTTAAATGTGCCATCTTAAGGACACAGCTAGTGACCATTGTAGAGAGATGGCAGTTACAGTAATTGTACAATAGTGATGTAAATATACATCTGCTTGATTAATTTATTTAACAGTTAATGAATTAGGCTGAGTATCTTATGAAGAATTATGGAGATCAAGGAGGGTGTTATCCGTCGAGGCCATAGGCCGAGGCGGATAACACCCTCCTTGATCTCCATAATTCTTCATAAGATACTCAGCCTAATTCAATAACTGTTTTATTATTCATTGAAAATAATTCCTCAATTAAAAACATAGCTAAAACATGCTTACCTCCATCGATCCATAGATGTTCAGTTCATCTTCGATAGTGTACGTTTAGGTTTGTCCAGCTCTGCAAATATTCTCCAAACAGCAGATGTCGCCCTTCGAGTTGTCTTCTTGCTGTTCTTGCCATGTTTTTAGCCATTTTTTCACCTAGTTCGTACTCTTGAAATAAGTGAAATGTCCGCCATTTTTTCAAGTTCACGACCAAAACAACTCAACCTCGTCCCCAGGTCTTCTCGGTTAACAGTGCCTTAACCTGCAAAAACGCTGCATTTTTGACGTCATTTCCTTGTTAAAGTCAAATTTCTTCCAAATTTTGTCATCAGTAACTGGTTATGGTGAATTAAACGTGTGCTTTTAGCCAATCAGAATCGGGGAAATATTTGGAATGAATAATACTATTAGTTAACATATACTTGATATAGCTTATAACTAGCATAAAATTGATTTTTTGCTTAGACATTTGAGCTGTATGATGTTGAAAGAGTCTATGGATTATATCAGGTTAGTTTTAGACATTTGTGATGGGGAAAATTCTGTGTTAAAATGTACATATAGGATGTACATTTTTGTTTGCTCGTTTGGTGTACATGTACCGTACAATCCAGCTCTTGTACGTGGTGTTTACTAATTTTACTAACTTTGTGTTGTCTGATATTACTATTTTCAGCTTGTGGAAGGGTTAACATTCCTCCATAATGACGCCAAGATTCTTCAAGGAAGTCTTGCTCCTGAAATGATTGTCATTACAAAGAATGGACAGTGGAAAATTGCAGGGCTTTTCTTCAGTTCAACTCCAGTTGTCATTGATGGACAGGTAACAGCTGAATGATGTTATAAAATTCTGATTGATACGCACCCTAATGCTCATCATTTTATCACTTTAAAAATGAAATATAAATTATAGGCCACTTTCACTCACAGAAATACCAGCTATTGTTACTGTGAGTTAGACAACGAAAAAATTAACGCTGAAAACAAACAACGTTTCAAAGTCATCCATGACATCAGTATCAAGTTCAAAATGATTAGAATAAACTGTGAGCTCAGATCAGCTCAGGTCCTATCCTGTTCCTTGAACAAGTACATCTTAGATTGCCCATCCAGGCAAGTACCAATAACCTTTCACACTTACACTGTACTTATAGGATGGGCATTACTGGGCCCAAGTGGGAATTCTTTTAAAGAAGTTAATTAAGGCTAAGCGTTAGTTAAGTCAAGAGAATCTCTTAATGTTTTACCTAACTGTAAGTTGCTTGTAAAATAAAGTTTAACTTTCTAGCAAGTACGTAGGAACACTGTCTCTTGTTGGCGGTGTGCAGTCAGTTTGGTGGTTCAAGCATGGGGGATGGTCAGCTGTGCTTGCATCAGCTCTATGTGCTTAGTACAGATTTCCTGGGGGCCATTTACTTCATTTAGCCTTTGGATCAGGCATTTGTCCCAGCCTCTCCCTCCCTTTTATTTTTCCACTGATAAATCTGTGTGACAGGTGCCTGGTTCCATTATTGGCATGAGGGCTCATGATTGGAAGGAACTGGTCTTTTTCATTGCAAATGTAAATGCTCTCAAAAGTGAGACTGATTTGACCAGTTTTTCAGACCTCATAACTGTACACACTAACTGTAAAGTATTCTTACTGAAATTTAACCCTTTAAGCCCCAATATCCACATACAAATTCTCCAGACTGATCTCCTTACATTTCCTGTAAGAATTAGTTGAGAGAATTTGTAAAAGATCAAAGTATTTTCCCTGTAAGTCATCATTTTATTAATTCTCATGACTGTTTCTCTTGAGTACATAGTGATATTGTTAAGGAGAAAATAATTGATGGTTGTCACTCTTGGGACTTAAAGGGTGCTGGGTCTAAAGTACAGGCCCCACTAACTTGTTCAAACGTTGGATAGCGCTATCCACCGGATAAATCACTATCCAGATAAGTATTGGGGAAACTAATTGCACCATTCACTGGATAGAGATTTATCCGGTGGATAGCGCTATCCAGCCTTTGAACAACCGAGGCCAGGTCACATTCCACAGGTCAAGAGTAGAGGTCACTGCTTCATCGATAAATTACCAAACCACACAGATTCCCCTCGATCTAAGGGAGCATTTTGTCAAGAGACTAAGGCTAGGAGACACTTTTAATGCTTTTCATTTATTTGTATCACGGTGACCTACTCTCTGACCTGCGGCCTGTATTTTAGACCCGCCAAGTATGCTTATCTCTTGAGTGAATAAACAGACTTTGACCATATTGATCTGGATTAGTGAATGGTCACTTTGGGGAGTTGCCCCATGCAGAGCTTGGATTGTATAAAGGCTGAATGACAACAATTTTAAATGGATTAAAGTCTCTTCATGCTCAATTGAAATTTCTGTGGAAGTTATGGTAACTGTGGAGGTGTGTGTGGCCAAGCAGTTAACACCTCAAACTTCAGATCTGGAGGTGCAGGGTTCAAGCCTCACCCGTCATGTTGTTTCCTTAGACAAGGAACTTTCCTACACTTTGTCTCTCTTCACCAAGGTGTATAAATGGGTACCGGCAACATACATTTACTTCTGGGGGAAACCCTGTGGGACTAGCATCCAGTCCAGGGGGAAGTAGCAATTATACTTCTATGCATGCTTCATGCTAAGGAAACTGGGATAAGCATCTGGCCATTTGGGCCTTTGGTTCATTTGCGCCTTTACCTTACCTTTACAATGTATATACTAACTGCAGTGTCTGATACAGTACAATTGTCTCATGTTATTTTCTTCAGTCTATGTATAATGCAGGCCAGTGGGAGCCACGTCTTTGGCCATGGGCACAGCCTGACCTTAACTATGCCGCACCAGAGTATATCCTTTCCAGATCGTGTGATGTATCCAGTGATATGTTCTCTCTGGGGGTGCTTATTCATTCAATATACAACAGAGGTAGACCACCCTTTGATTGCGACAACAACATGACGGCATTTAAGAGAAATGTAGAACAGGTAAGAACCCATCCAAAATTTTTGGGTACATTACTAAATTTTGTTAAATTCATTTGTAGACGGAATCAGAATATTTTCACATATTTTATAATTCTACAGTCAGTCAGGATAAAAAATAGGAAAGTAAATACTGCATTGTGCACGGCTTCTTGTTCAGGGTCTCTGTTGTGTTTATTGATCACTAGAGACTTAATTAAGGAGCCAATAGTAACAAACTCTGAAATGGTTAGCTCACTGGAAGTTATTTATGTCCTGAGAGCCTCTGGTTCATTGTTACAATAATATCGGCTATGTGACTATGTTGTTCTAGCTTTTTTCTAACTATAGCATCAGGAAACAATTAATTTGTTGGTACGGGAATATTGTTTTTGTTGTTGTTGGTGGTGGTGGTGTTTGTTTATTTGTTCGTTTTTCTTTCTATTTATGAAGAAAAATTAATAATGATCTTATGAAGGTAGTTGCCTTGTCTTTTTAAGATTGAGAGATTTCATCAGCATAGGTAAACTGTGTGCATTATGGCAGGGGGGCATTGCAGGTTACGTCAAGTGAGAAATTCAGTAGTTTTCTCGCTTTCCTTGTGTGAGGAAAAATGTTCTCTATTGCAGTGTACAATGTTAATTTATTATTATTAGTATGGCTTTACGATTTACTTAGTTTGCTCAGTACAACAGACCTTTATCACTAGGCAGCCATGTTTCTCTCGTCAACTATTTTCCTTGGCTGGATGTTGTAAATTTTTGACAATGCTCTACCTTACAATGAAATCTTACATGTACATGTACAGTGTATGTTTGATTAATCTCTAAAGATTGCTTGATAATTAATAATTCTTTTTTAATTTTTTGTTATTAACAGAATTGTTTTAACATAGTTTTCTCTCGTCAACTATTTTCCTTGGCTGAATGTTGTGAATAATTATTATTTTTATTGTTTTTCTCATAGATGTCGAAGAACAGTGTAACAGCTCTTGGTAATGTTCCTAAGGATGTTCAACAACATGTCAGGGACCTACTTAGCATCACTTCCTCTCTTAGGCCAGATGTTCATCAGATGAGCAAAGTAGGTTGGTTGTGCAAAAGTAAAAAAGAGTCACTTCAACCAGTCACCCTTCATATTCCACTGGAAGTTCTAATTAGCTATACAAGTAACAGAAATATCCGTAAAGAAAATGACAGTATCCACAACAAAAATCTTTATGACCTTCGGACTTCAACTGCCAAGAGCAAGAACAAACTATTTTAAGAATAGCTTTTGCTTTTACGGATGTTTAACTCTGGAATTCATTCCTTTCTAGTTTAAAAGAGGAGACTTCTTGGAAAAAAATTCAAAACTAAGATCAGGTCATACAAAGTACATATTGTATCTTACACAAGCAGGATTTATTGTTTTTCTTCCTTTTTAAGTTTAAATAGTGTGAGATCTTTTTCCCAGGTACAATGTATAGACATATGCACCGGTAAATTAATTTATTAAGCTTTGCTTTTAGATAAAACAGATATTTTTATTCTGAAGTTATAACTACTGTGGGTACAGAGAATAAACATAGTTTTTGCTCACTCAGTCTTTCATGAAGCTTTCTGGTGTACAATATAGAAGTACATGTAGCTCCCTGTTCATTACCAAGGCCCTAAGATATAATAGAATGCTCTGCCACAACTCTAAATCTTTACCTTTGAGAAAAAAATGCCTGAAGTTTTCAATTACCAACCAGTGATCAATTCAATATGACATTTCATCTTTCAGATTTCATTCTTTGAGAATGTCGCAGCCATGACGTTGCAATATCTGGACTCTTTGGTGCAGCGTGATGAAATGGCTAAGTCACAGTTTTTTAGAGGCCTCTATAAAGTCATGTCAAAACTTCCAAAGGTAAAGGATTTTTCAACCAGACATTCTAAAGTAAAGTGGATTACCTACACCTGTACATTGAGGTCTTCATAGTGAATAACATCATATGCATGGCTTATAACTGACAGATGATCAATAACCTACATGTAGTGACCCTTGACCAATAAGTTTCACAACTAAAGTTTTATCCTAGGTATCAAACCACAGTTTGAGTAACTTTGACATCAAGGGCGTTGTCACAACCTCATTCACTGACACCAGACAATCATTTGTTATTCTAATTAATGGTGAACAGTGGAGAGCAAAGATATGTGTTAAAAGCGTGATGCACATGCAGAGCTGTTGTTTTGCTCATAGAACCAATTATTTTTTGGCGTTGTCCTTGTCGTTGTGGTCGTGGTCAATAGCTGGACTTGGTCTGATTATTCTTCTCTTATTTTCTCACTACAGAGAGTGGTTATACAAAGAGTATTGCCACAGTTGTGTGCAGAGTTCAGTAACCATCAGATGGTGCCATTTGTGCTGCCTAATGTTCTGTTAATAGCGGAGGACTGCACTACACAAGAGTTCAGTGACCTTATTTTCCCAGAACTAAAACCAGTCTTCAAAATACAAGAACCCATACAGGTTGGTGTGCAGTCAGTCTTAGCCATCAAACTTTCAGTACATTCCGACCATCTTAAAAATAGATGAACTGTTCAAGCCCTAAGAGTGATGAGCATTGAATTTCCCCTTGTTATATTAGAACCTTATTAAACAGAGTGGTCATGAGAATTAAGGAAATGATCACACAAGATGAATTTGATTGATACTCTTACAACTTCTCCCCACTAATTCTGTAGGAAATGGTTAGGGGCAACAGATGAGAATTGAAATTTTGATATTAGGGTTCAAAGGGTTAAGAGAAGAAAAGTTGACAAAAAGTATCCATCACAATACAAATATAACCTCAAAGGAGTTTTTCATATCCTTTTCGTAAAAGGAAAGAAAGAAGCGACCATTGCAGGCCATACACAAAGCACACTAGTTTGGAACGTTTTAACAAAGTAGCTATTGATAGCGTTCAAAAAAATTAATTCCAACTTTTCCTTTGGTCAGGCAGCTTTCACGTTAATTTGCTGACGGGGACCATTGCTTGCTTGTCTTAGTCAATAATCTTAGCCACAAGGTGACTTTCTTTGAGTCTTACACATTGGGCAAGTGAGCTGAAAAATTCATTTGTACAGCAAGAAAATATACTTTTCCTGGACAACGACACGGAGTTTTTATTTTCAATTCTCTTGACTGAAGACGTTAGAAAATAACCTGAAGGCATTTAGGAAATGATGACCGTAAACACCGTAGCAGTGAATGCAATAGCCGATTTTATGCTAGAGACCTTGAGTCGTCTGAGACGTTAAAGTCATTTTCAGACGGCTTTAACGTCTGGTATAAAAACGGTAATATACATGTAAGACAGACGGCTTTTAACGTCTTCTGTTGGAGTACGTCCGAACGACGCACTTAACAGACGACTTAAACGTCTCAGACGTTAAATGCGTCTAGAGGACTTTAACGTCTCTAGCACATCAACGGCCAATTTTACAGTTAATGTATAATAGAGGATTACCGCTTAATACACAGGTTTGATTGTGTACGTAAAGTTCCCCTTGTTGAATTCACCCTAAGGAAGGCGACTCTTCAAGAAGTCCTGTGAATTAGTTTTTAATTCTGATAAGGAGGTATCCCTTAGTTGTGGCTCTGATTAAAGTATATGAGCAGAAATTCTAAAATTGGGACGTTGGTTTCCCCTTATTTTTTTATAGGTTGTGATTATCTTTCTTAAGAAGATGGACTTACTACTCGCTAAGACGTCAAAGGATGACGTAAGAGACCACGTGTTACCCATGGTCTGTAAAGCTCTGGAGACTCCTGCTGAACAACTGCAGGTGATAATATTAGTCAACAAATTTGTCGAAGTTCTCTTTTTACAACTGTTAAAAATAAATAGGACTCCGTGAAAGGAGAGTCGAAGAGAAGAGGTTTATCCACAGACTAAAAGTTAGAACTACTTCATACAGCATAATAAAGCATACCACACGAAAATACTGCTCAGTAGCTTACATTTACGTGTTTACCTAGTCTTCATCATCAGCTTTGGTAGTGAATTAAGTTTTACATGTATTTGTCCATGCGTTGTTATTATTTTTGCAACTCTGCTATACAACTGTAGATGTTCAAATTGCAAATTTTGTGTATGTTTTAATCCTAGGAAATGGTTCTGAGCATCATTCCTTCATTTTCCAACATGATTGAATACTCTGCAATGAAGAACTCCATCATTCCACGCATCAAGAACCTGTGCCTTCATACGACATCTTTAACTGTACGTGTAACGTTGAGTGACGTCATTCTCCCTTTTTCTAAGCTCAGTAAAATCATTTGTTTTCCAGTCTGGTTGTTAAAGCTCTGCCTAAAGTTAATCCACAGACTAGAAGAATCCTTTTTTCTTCCCCTGTTCTCTTTGGTATGAAACGTCCCCGAGAGGGGGAGACAATCATAGCCATGGGGAGAAAATGTGAGAGGGAGAAAGCAGTCATGTCCAATACTGTCTACATGATACGCGTGGAAAAATACTTTTCACAATTTGTACGAGCGGACAAGTTGTCGCGACTCGACATACAGAGTTGTCGAGTGGAAAATGCATCTCATTAGTTGACTAGGAAGGGCATCTTAATTGTCGAGTCGTACGAGCGGACAAGTTGCCTCGACTCGACAGACAGAGTTGTCGAGTGGAAAATGAATCTCACCAGTTCACTAAAGCAGAGATCCGCTCAATACAACCCTCAGAGAAAGAGTTAAAAGAAATCGGGATCTCTAGCGGGTTCTATAATCTGCTGACATGGCATCTTCGACACCTGTACAGTTTGACTTCTTCTTTATTGTTCCTTGGACAGTGTACAGTTGTTTCGCTTTAATGTGACCCTTTCGCTACGAGTCGTTTCGGTACTGCATTTCTATAAAAACTGTGAAAATTTCTTGTTCTAAAAATGGCGTCATGGTTGTGAGTGGGAGTAAATGGGTTTAGGACGATTATTCGCCATTTGAACACCTCCCTTAATACACCTACTTTGCCCCCCAAAATTTTGCGAATGGCGAAAATCTAATTTATGGACAGGCGATGAACTCAATTGTTTGAAAGTAAAGTCAGTCTACTAAAGCTCCCCGCTAGTGATGGTTGAGAACCGCTCTTATAAGTCAATAAACCTTTGTCACGTGGCGGCCATTTTGTCTCAGGAGATTTAAAAAGCTTTGTTTATGCATGGCTAGCCTCGTTCTCTCTATAGCCGTGCATAAACGAAGCTTTTTAAATCTCCTGAGACAAAATGGCCTCCACGTGACAAAGGTTTATAGGGTTTGCTACTTTCCTTGGTGCTTAGAATACAACGAAATTGTGTGTTGCTCAGGTTTGAGTTGATCTCTGCAAATCCTCTTCCTTCCTCTTTCCTACGAAGAGCTTTAGATTCTAGTTAACATTAACTTAAAGCTCTAGTAAATGAGAGAAAGAATGGGTTCAGGAACTAACTGTCGCCTTTTTTCAAATCAGATTCGAGTGAACGCTCTGGTGTGTTTGGGGAAGATGTTGGAAAATTTGGATAAGTATGCAGTGTTGGATGACATCATACCCCTGATGAATCAGATCCCATCCAGAGAACCCCCCACTCTTATGGCTATACTAGGTAAGCACATCCACCCCTGTGGGGATCCCAGATACAGTGTATCCCACCCCTGAAAACGCTTTCTATGACAAAATGCTGTTATAGATTTTACCTTTCATTCTGGCTTGCCTTTATTGGAGGATAAAGGTAAACGTTTTACTGTTTGATACCTATAAATTTACTAAAACAGTAGATAAAACGCTTTTTTGGCAGCCGAAACCCATCTATTATTTAAAGTAGCTTAAGTCTGGGCAATTAATAACCAATGAAAGAAAACTCGCCCTATTTCGTAGTATTTATATCCAGGGTTTGCACGTACCTTAAAAATCCTTGACAGTCCTTGAATTTTGAAATAAGTGTTCAAGACCTTGAAAGTCTGAAAATTGCAGTCGGTGCTGGAAAGTCCTTGAATTTCGGTACTAGCTTTATCCAACCCAGATTCTCAAGTGACTAAAAGGAGCAAACACAAAAAGACCTGCAGGATAAAATTGCTCATGTTGTGGAAGAACTAAAAATGGTATAGACTCAAGGCTCTTTTTTGCACTAAATGGAGTCGTTGAAAAATGGGAAATGTGTCCTTGAAATGTCCTTGAATTTTTTTTTTCAAAAAAGAGTACGAACCTTGTATATCCTAATCATTTTAAATCGCCGTTTTTATTCCTCATTAGGAATATTCAAGCAAACAATGATTCACAAAAAGCTTGGCATGGATAAAGACTACCTAGCGACAAAAGCTATTCCATTTCTGTTTCCTCTAGCTGTAGAACCAGGACTTAATCTTTCACAGGTAATTGCGTGACTCGCCTAAATAACAGCGACGTCCTATTGACCAAGTAATAAAAAATGAACTTTATTTGAATGTCAAGGTATTTAGCACGAAAGTACTAATTGGGAAACTATTCTTACGTCTCCAACTGGAGAAGGGACGGGACCGCCATTTTACGTGGTCATCCGAGCCACGCGAAGGCAGTCTAGCAGCTTGCAGGGCAAGGGGAGTACTCTTATTTCTCAGTTATTTTAAGACTCTGAATATTGGTCCGGTCCCGGGAATCGAACCCGCGACCTCCCGCTCTGCAGTCAACACGCTCTACCGACTGGAGACGGAGAGCTTCTTACTTAAACTAATGGATTATTGTTTTCTCCTCAGTTTGGTCAGTACATGAAACTTATCAATGAGATGGTGCGAAGAGTGGAGACGGAACACCGAACGAAACTGGAGCAACTTAACAAGATGCAGGAACAAACCAAGTAAGACTGGGATAGGTTACTTTTCCACAGCGAACTTCGCCTGTGTCACAGATGTGATCTAATTCCGGTTAGTAATGTCAGCGAAGCAGCACTGATACCCTTGTTCTGGACCCCGAAGGACTCGACAAATTGTCGGAAATACGTTTCGAAATACCCATTTGCAATTCGACAGTTATAACAGCGTCAAATAAATTGAGCGTGGACTTTCCTTATCGCTGTATCATAGGTTATGTTTTTTTTACCAGGAGGCAGCGTGGCCGAGTGGTCAGCGCGTCGGACTCGCAATTCAACGGTCCCGGGTTCGAGTCCCGCTCTGGCCACTTGCTGGAGTTGTCCTAGGTCGTCCCGAGTTCAAATCCTCGGCCACACTTGTAAATAGCCAACTGGTTGCCTCCTACCAGTTGGGGTTTTTAATCCTGTTATGTTGTATTTGAATTATGTGTTTCTAAGTATTTGAGTGGAGTGCCTGTAAACTAGCTGGATAACCTAAGTGCACTTTACACTACAAAAAAAAAAACTCTCTCACAGGACGTCCTTAAAGTTTGCTCAGGAGGTACAAGAAGCAAAGGCCATGGATGATCTGATGGGTAAAATAGAGAACCTCATGACCGGCAGTACCCCTGACGCTGAACGTACAGGTAATTAAACAATTGGCACCGTTTTGGCGCACCACCTTAACCACCCTTTACAGCATGTAAAACAGCGCCTCTTAAAAGTGCTACTCAAAACGTTCACGTTAGGATTTCATCTAAAACTCAAAGTTAGAAACCACTTTGTATAGCGTAATTAACAGGACCACTCGAAGGTACTGCTCCGAGCTTTCGTATGAATGGTCACACTTTAGGATTTCATCCACAAACTCGAAAGCTAGAACCACCTTGTACATCATAATACACAATACCACGGGGAAGTACTTCTCAGTAGCTTTCATTTGAATGGTAACACTTAGGTATAATTTCATCCACAGCCTCAAAATGTTATAACCACCTTGTGTAGCGTATAATAAACAGTACCACAGGATAGTACTGCTCAGTAGCTTTCATGTGAATAGTCACACTTCAGCATACGTTTAAACCTCATTTTACAACTCAAAACTCGGCTTACAAACTAAACAGTGAATGCAGTGTGGTTCCCTTGGTTCATGCAAAATTTACGAATTTTTTCTTCTGTTTCATTTAAAGATAAAGTGAATACTTCTTCTTCCTCGAGATCAATGGGTGCAACTAATTCTGCAGAGGTGAGTAGCTTTCAGTCGGTTTTCTTCCTTTCTATACATGTCTTTTATAAGCTCATGGCTTCTTGTTCAGGGTTTCTGCTGTGTTTAATGATCTCCAGAGACTTAATTAAGGAGCCAATAGTAACGAACTCTGAAATGGTTAGCTCGCTGGAATTTATTTATGTCCTGAGAGCCTCTGGTTCATTGTTACAATATGTGCTACATAATTAGGTTGTTCTTGCGTTCGTAACTTATGGATAATTTTTAAATATCACGTCTGCAAGGAACATTGTTTGTTTGTTTTTCTTTTTTCTTACGAAGAAAAACTAGGGGGAAAATCCAAGGGAGCAAAAATAATCGTATGAACATATTTTGCCTTGTGTTTTTTTTAAGAATAAGAGATTTAATTAGCGTGGGTTAACTGTGAGCATTACAGCCAGGGGCCATTACAAGTTATATGTCGAGTGAGAAATTCATACCGTAGCTTTCTGGCTTTCCTAGTGTGAGGGAAAATGCTAAAGAGTTTTTTTTTCTCTGTTCTAATGGTAGCGTTTTCTGCGGAGTTCCTCATTTTCCTCGTTCAAATGTCGTTTTATTCGATTGTCACCGGCGACGTCCACCTTTTTTGTTGTTGTTGTTGTTTTGTTGTGACCAGCCGGGACGCAAGGAAAATGACGTCATTATTTCCTTTTATTCCAATCATTCTGCTTTCTGGAGCATAGTAGGTCAATCAACGAATATTCCAGATTATTCTATGCATTCATATTCTAGAATACGGTCGATCGAACGCACCTTAAGAAAAGGCGACCTGATCATGAGTAGCCTGAGAAAACAGCCGACATTTTGCGACGCCACCACTGATTTCTTCGCGAAGTGACGTCTGGGAAACGAGCGCAGAAATTCCATACTGAGGACGCGTCATTACCCAGATATGGGTTGTGCGTCTGATTGGATGAAGCAAATTTCCAACCTATCAGAGGCACTACACAGTGCCCAGTTTCCTTTCTTATCGATCTTTCTCCGAGACAGGCTATGGAGTGTTTTCGCATGACGTTACGGCGGCCATATTGATGTTCCTAAGCGATGAAACGACGCCCATGTCGGTGTCCCAAACCAATCCTTTGGTAGTTGAACTCGTTTCTTCTGTAAACGCGTGCTTTTGTTCCAATGAATTTGCATAGGAGGTGGCCGCGTGACAACGCTGTGCTTTATCTTAAAAAGACTTTTCAGAAGAAGTTAAATGAAGTTATAAGTTAAAAGTTGTAGCTCATTGATTTCTCTTCCTAGTTCAACAGAACGTTTGGTTTGCCAGAGAATCCGTCACGATCAAAAGGCGCATCTCTTAACGGAAATCTGTTAGGCGTCGATGAGTTTGCGATGTTGCAGCCAACCAAACAGCCGAGTCAGGATATACAATCAAATAAACCAACTCAAAAGGTGTGGTTCGTTTCAACTAAACTGTTATTTGTTTCTACCTTTATTTGCTGACTGATCTTGATTCAATAATGGGGGCATTTGGCTCCATCCCCGAGACTGTGGACGTTATTTTATAGTATTACTTTACAAATTAAATCTACTGAGCAATACCTTCCTGTGACGGTGTTTATTATACATTTAACGTGTTTCTACATTTTGAGTCTATTGATGAAATCCTAAAGTGTGACCATTCAAATGAAAGCTTCTAAGCAGTACTTTCCTGTGGAACTGTATATTACGCTGAACAAGTTGGTTCAAACCTTTGATTCGTGGATGAAATCTTGCTGTATAAACGTTCAATTACGACCTCTTTAGCTGTACTTAGTAGTAGGGGGACGACTTCTAAGACGAGTCATTTTGGCGGGAAATTGTGGTAGCTGCCGTCAATCTACCACGGGTTTTAGCGAGAATGCCTTAGTGGCGGAAACAAATTATCAACTGTTAGAGGTTTTATTATTTTGCGATTGGAAGAGAGTTTATCCTCCTCCAATAAAAACAACCGTGTTAACTTTTTTGTTGAAAGAAACTACAATGAAGCTTTCCGTGGTTTAAATTTTTGAGAATACGCAAAGAAAAAAACTTAGAGTAATAGAGGATGTTAGCATCGACAACGAGTACGAGTTCTAGAACGAGATCAGCGATTTTGCGTTCTGCGCATCCGTTCTGCGCATCTCCACGTTTTCAAGTCGTCCTGTCAAGTTGCACTACGATGAGTTCTCACCGAAAACTCGAAGTGGGTAGAACGACTGGGAAGAGCTGGTTTTCAAAGGTAAATTCCGATCGTTTAATGCAGTTTCTTTTCGTTTCTAGCCTCTCTTTAACATCTTGAACATTCCTTATATTATGTTTTATGTAAAATACTGCTGTTGAAGTCGATTAAAAGCAACAGAACGCGATATTTCCTACACAGAGTAAATTTGCATTTACCGGGAAAGTTTCATGTCTCTCCACAGGCCTCACAGGCTCACGAAATAACCCCGAAAATTGCCATTATTTGGTCGAAAATATCCCAACAGTCGAAGATGTGAATAAAGAATACTTACTTCTTTATCCAGTGTGGTTGTTGTGTTGAATTTGATGGGTTTTAGCGTGTTTTAAGACCGCAAAGCACAAAATTCTTCTTGGTACAAAAAACCTTCCATGTAAATGAGTAACAAGCAGTCTTGAACGTTTTTTAGAGTCATTTTTTGTTTTCGAAATTGTTGTGGAAGCGCTACCTCGACTCAAATTTGGCGCCCAGTCATGGGGAATCTCATAAACTCGAACTCAGTGTCATCGCTAACGTAGAAAGCTGAGAAAACGACTTCGAGTACGAGTACGGCTTGAGGTCGTTCTCGTCCTCGTACTCGTTGTTGATGCTAACATCCTCTAATATCTCGTTCCCGAAGTCGTTCTCTTCCTCGAATCTGAAGGTCTCTATTGACATCATAACCCAACTGCTACTTAAAACCCATAATTCCCAGGATACAATGTATGTGAGACATGATAACAGAATGAGCCGACAATTAACTTTTCGCGTTGCAGTTCTCAACGCAAAAGACCTTAACGTCAAGCTCGTCCTTTTCTTTACCATCTCGACCAATGGCCGCTTCCTCTTTTTCGCAGCCTGGGACCTCCAGCTTCGGTTCTTCAATGGCCATGTCGTCAACACCCTCTTACGGAATGGCGGGATTAAAGAATGGTAATACAGGAATGGGATCCGGAATGACTGGTTATACAGGAATGTCCGGAATGAATCCTGGTATGTCGGGATTATCGATGTATGGAATGAACTCGGGTACATCTGGATTATCAGGTCTAAATTCAGGATCAATGGGGATGAATCCCGCGGGATCCACACCGAAGTATTCAGCTACGGGATCATTCGCTGGAAGTCAGTCTAAAAACGCGGGTGGATCGTCGGCGCTTGACTCGTTGTTTGCTCCTGAGTTAGGACATTTACAAAACAAGAGTAAACCATCGATGAGCGCTCTGCAAGCGCAACAAGGGCAGCACGGTGGCATGAATCAAGGTACATAGTTCTATGCGTTTTTGTTGAGTCTAGTTTCAATATAAAGCTCTTGAAGGCACTGGCAACTACATTTCTGATCCCGAGTAAACAACTTAGACCAGGGTGGGCTAGGGAAGGGGCCTTAGTGGTACCAAATCCGCTGGATAGGCGTTCTGTGGGTAAGAAGGTGCAAAATTCGAACACTTTTTGTCCACGACTGTAAAACCTTTTTGTAAGCTCCAGCCAAATATTTTTCTGGTTCGTTTAGGTTCGATGGGAAGCAGACCCATGATCCCGCAACAATATGGCGGCGGTATGATGACGTCATCATCCGGGATGTTCCCGATGCAACAACAGCCACCAATTGGTGGAATGAGTGGTCAGCAGTATCTGTACCAGTCTCCACCGAATCAATCATCCACGAATAGTGGAAATGACTTGAAAGACCTGTTTGGTTAATGAAGTCGGGCTTCGACTGTGAAATTGTGTTCGTGGCAAGGGTAGCGGAGTAAAAAAAACGCGCTTTGATTTTCCTTTGCGCTCTGTGCGTGAATGTACGTGGTCAGCTGGGTATTTATGTGAATTCAAATAACTATGATAATGTGCGGTTGCAACAAAGTTGCCCGTGCGGACTCACTGTAAATGACCAAATAAACATCCACGCTGTTAAAATTGTATTAGGCGTCCCTCTCTAATAAGCGCCCCCTATGAAAATTACTCCAAAATACTAGGAATGAGCAAAAAGGAGCAAAATCATTCCATTCATGCAGTTTCTTGTTTGATTAACAAGGCTTTGCGGGTAACACAATAACCCTGAGCGAGGGTTGTGACATCAATGTCGGGATTTGAAAGAGCGATATGGATCTCTAGACCGTACATGGTGTAGACGTCGACATATCAATTGATGGAGTGGATATTCTGCTATTTTTAAACTCTCTTGATATTTTTGCCGATAGCAATTTAGTTTTCTTGAGCTTTTTACAGTTACGAGAATAAACGCTCCCTATGTTTTAAACGCCCCTGTTTGGACCCCTAGAATTAAATAGACTCCCCGGATGTTTATTAGATCAATTACGGCAGTTGGCCGTGGACAAGCGGTAAAAGTGAATAGTGAGCTCAAGCTAGGACGCTTTTGAGCGACGAACGTCAACCGGAAGTGAAATGCCTTCATTCTTGGGTAATGATTTTGCCCAAATTTTTGGTCAAAACGTCTTTATCAGACTAAAGGCTAGTCTGCTACACAGCCATTTTTAGTGTCGTCACGTAACGCTCCTGTTACGTGACGACACTAAAAACGGCTGTGTAGCAGACTAACTAAAGGCATGCACTTAGCAATGAAAATTTGGAAGCGTTATGGCAAATTAAAAGGAAAGGGGTTCGCTTCCGGTTGCCATGCGTAGCTGAAAAACCCCTTTGCTTAACTGAACTCTCCATTGCCTAAACTTGTACAACAGGGGATATTAAAATAGTCAGTTTAATAATAATTGTTGACGTTTAAGTGTGTGAACAAAAAGGTTGTCATTCATTGCCTAGAGTCTCTCTAAAATCCGATTTCGGGGAATTTAGTTTTTTTTAAAAAAAGCCTTTATTTAAGATCTTGAATGTCGAGTTGTAAACGTAGGCTGGTAGCTTAAAATCATTATTTAAAGAAAAATAAAATATTACAGAGAACATTTAATTGAATTTTGCGTGTTTTTTTCCCTTTTGTTTTATGGGGATAATGGTCATCATTAACAAATATTAATGGACATCTCCTGAAAATAGATGCCTACATGTAGAGTTGGTCCTTGGTACTTTCCACTGTTTCCTAGCCTGCGTGCATGGCAGGCGTTTGAAATTGAAGGGAAAGGGAGATTTAGGTGCGAGAGAAACGCGAGGGGCGCCCCTCGCGTTTCCCTCGCGCCCTAAGCCCCCTTCCCTCCCCTTTCAAACGCCTGTCACGCAGGCTGACTGTTTCCAGTCATTTTTTTTTTTTTTCACTTCCTTAAAGACTGAGACCTCCTTTAAAGGGACACCTGGAGTTGATCCTTGCTATTTTTCAGTCATTTGCTTGGACTCTCTAAAAGGCGGAATGCTTGCTGTTTTAAGTCATTGACCCTCTGCTGTGTAAGGCGGACACCTTTGTTTACGAAACACGCGCAAAAATTCCATTATCTGACCCAGAAACATCGCTAACCACCACTCTCCTCTTGTTTTTGAGGCTAACGAGACTATTATATGGCATCAATCGTCCCAGTCGTTCAGATCGTCTCGGCTAAAAAATGTAAGCGTGGGTGGTGGAACAAGATTTCCACTGAAATTTTCTGATCAACTTTTCTCCTTTTTTTGCGTTTTTCTCTCGTCTGTTTTACTGAGCGTGCTCATTCCGGCTGTTTTATACAGTTTTTCAGGCGGTTGCATTAAATACAGGAACACGTTTTCCTCGAAAAATTGTCAAATTCAAGGCCAATAACTGTACCCTGGGTGCTTGAAGGACCATTCAAACGAATCCAAGACCATTCCTGGGCGGTGTTGGATATGCTACGCGCTCGGTCACCATTTTAAACATGGCCGAGGAACGAAGGCGTTGTCCAATTTAATACACGTTTCCATTGATTTTGAACCAGCGGGAACAGGAGAAAATGCAAAAGGAGGTCATAAATAAAAATAATGACCTCTGCTGTTCCAATAATGGTCGTTTAATAAGCTTATTTGCATTGCAAATTCGAAGGCTTGAATAATTCTTGGTTTGCAATTACGAGACAAGAAGGTTTAATGCTGGTGGTGAAAACGATACAATTTTTTTTTCGCAGAATTTCCAGTAAAAACAAAAAATAGTTGCCAGCAGAAGGGAACGCTTTACTTCTAATCAACCAGGAAGTGACGTCAGTGGTACTTCAGTTGCAAACAAGTTACAGCTAATTGACCACTCGAGGATATACCATAACATAGTATAATGCTCTTTGTTTTTCCCCCAAAAGTTTGCATAAGCATTGTTTTCAGTTTATCTTAGGGCCATTTTAACTCCCAAGAGAAACTGAAAACAATACTTATACAAAATTTTGGGGTGACAAACAAAGAGCATTATGCTATGTTATGGTATTTTCTAGAGTGATCAATTCGACACTCTGTAATTATGCAAACAAAGTTTATTGTATGGTCACCTCCTAGAAGGCCCTAGAGTCTCAAAGGGTTATGGTTTTTTATTTCTATTGTACATATTTTCTCAATCGCCTGTATTCTCTTGCGACAGTTAGGGCCTGTTTACATGAAGGTGGGGGACCCCAGGTAGGTGAGGTAACCCGCTTAGGTGGGTAACCCGCCTGTCCATATAATCTCTTATTTTAATGTGATCACGTTTTCATGTTAAGTGGGGTGACCCGCCGCATGTTACCACACCTTTCTGGGGTCCATCACCTCCATGTAAACAGGCCCTTAGATATGTACAGGACCAACAATCGTTTATAGTGGCTCCCCCTTCAATTAGCTAAAGGTTTGATCAGGTGTTCTGCCCTACATGTTGTTTGCCTCCCAAACATTATGGGTCCAGTTAAGATCTGAGCAGGGTCTTCGTGATGGTTATAAAACACCGCGTAAACTAGGACGATTAGGAATAAATTACGCCAGCGCGTCCTACGATAGCTGTTCGAACGTCGACAACGCGCAACATGGCCCGTCTCACTCGAGAACAAATCTAAGGAAATGTAAAAAAATATGTCGGATAAAAGTTTTAATTAAAATGAATACCACTGCAGAATCGTTCAACTTTCCTACAAAGCTGTACTGACACGTTGGCCGATCTGTTTGAATAGTGCTTAATTTGAAATAGCTAGTGTTACAAAAAGTTGCAATTTTTAGAAGTAAATACTCACATGTTTTCCTCTTGCGTTGATGAGGCAAACATGAAATTTAAGTGGCGGGAAATCAGCGAGAACGTAGCCCTTTCTGTCATTGTTGCGTTTGTCAGAAAATGCAAGGTTTGTAAAGCTTTGCTCGCAATCTAAAGATGCAAGTCAGTCTTACGCAGACCCAGTGATGTGTTGGTAATTAGCGCCTTTATCTCAATGAAGAGCGCTCTATTCGCTTGTTTTTTTTGTGGTGAGTGTGAACGCGTGCAGTCCGAATGGCCTTTTGCGCCACTCCTGCACCCTCACGGAAGAAGTAAGAAAACAGCTAGCTGATAAATGCGTCTACAACAAAAACTTATGCCTGGTAGGCTTGTAATAAATTAAAGAAAAGTAAAAAAGATAATTAAGGCGCACCATGAGACGAATAGGCCATTTTACAGTTAGAGCAATTTTACTTGACTCATAAAACAGTTAGTAACAACTAGTGCAAAATAGCTACAAATAAACAAAAGAAGACAGTAGAAGTGAATGTGAGGCTGAGGTTGATCTCGTTTCGCTACAAACCTCTTTTCTTTTCTTATGAAAGTTATGCTAAAAATAGTACTTAGCATAAGAAAAACTTAGGACTAGTATTTGAGATCGTAAGAGTGAGGGAGGGGAGGGGGCTCATATTACGGCATAATATTTTGAACAAGACTTTCACATACTTGAGTTTTCCTGTATTTGAAGACATGGTACAGAGAGAAAAATTACCTTTCAAAATAAGTGGTTTTATGCACAGAATCGAGAGCCACTATTTACAGGAAAATTGCATCGCTTCAAGTACCTAACTATAATTATTAAAATTAAATAAAAGCTTAATTATTTGAAACCGCAGACTTTAGCTTGCTGCCAGAAGCGTTTCTTCACAAACGAATAAAGCCTTGCATCGGCCCAGTTGGCCTTAGTGATCTCGATAATGAGATCTTTAGGAACATTGTCAAATCTGTAAGAAGGGTTATATTTACCAATGTCATAACTGGATACTTCATGAAAGAACTTTGGCAAACGCCTGTAAAGAATCTGAAGATAAACCTCATAGTGTTCCAATAGACCCACAGCAGCGTAATACCGTTTTATATTATGCTTCGCCTTCTGCAAAGCCCTCCAGTTTCCTCGAAGACAGTAAGAATGTCTCCCGCAGAAAAACCTTGTCATTACGTTGTTCCTGCATCCTTTGTGCTGTCGTCTAAAGCACTGCTTAAGAGATTCGTTCCTTTCTCCAGAGTTAAGAAATTCTTTTATTCTGTCCGTGGGTCTGTTTGTACTCCTCATATAATGATAATGGGACACCAGTCGTCTTATAGGGTCTCTGACTTGATTTATATATGTGTGAGCCTGCGGTAAGTTTAAGTTGCTTCTAAAGTAAAAGTGTGCCACGAAAGCCATGCGCGGACGTTTGAGGAGTTTCTTATTGGCTTTTCTTATGATAAGTCCAGGATACGGGCCAGACTCACCTTTGTCGTACCAGTCCTCCGTCGTTCCTTGTAAACAAGAGATGTTGCTTAGATTAACATAGCGACAACTTATTATCCTTCAATACTTTTTCGCCTGTAAATGTAACCGTCCCTTCTCCCTTCTCGCCGCTAGGAACGTTTGGTGGGAGCCGAGACGAAACGAAACGCTAAAAATGCCTAGTGGCAAAGAGCGAGGAGAGGAAGCTGTATTCGCAGGCTAATACTGGGCATGACCTCAATACTTAAGTGAAGGGAGGACAAAATTTGACTGTGCGACTCGCACCGCTCTGTTGCTTCAGTGAAGAACTAAGGACTCAGTGCTCTTTTCCTTTTCTCTCCCCCATAACCTTATTTCACCATTAATTAGGCTCGAAGTGTCCTAAGACAATTTCCTAAGACTCCACTTTCTGGTAATACTGTTATTAATTTTGTTGTACTATAGTTTATCTTTAGTAAGTTAGTTAATGTTTGGTAAAAAATAAGTTTGAAATTCTTTGGTTAAACAAGCCATAAAGATTTGTTAAGAAACATGAAAGCATGTCTGTATATAAAAGAGAAAAGTGAATGAGAGCGGGAGTGAAGGACGAATAAACAAACGAATGAATGAATGAATGAATGAATGCATGAATGAATGAATGAATGAATGAATGAATGAATGAATGAATGAATGGATGGATGGATGGATGGATGGATGGATGGATAAATGAATGAATAAATGAATGAATGAATGGAAAAGTGAATAAATGAATGAATGAAAAAGTGGGTAAATGAATGAATCAGTGCCAGTTAGGTTTCTTTTAGATTTAATTTCTTGCTTTAGGTAAGAAGATTGGTTAGTTGTTAAAAGCCCGTAGGTTCGATAGGTTAGGTTTGTTTTCAGACTGATTATTTGTCGATATATTAGCTGCGTCGTGATTAGAAAATTTTTTTGTGATTTTTTTCTGCAGTGACTTTTGCATTAATCTCACCTATTTTGTAGCCATAATTCATGGCTAAACTCGAGTTTATAATAATAGATTCAGTAGTGGAACTTCCAGTCTTGAAAATACGATTATACAGTAAGACTTTTGGATCCAGTTCCTGACAACCGACTTTGTCAAACTTCAAAAGTCCATTTGTTGCCCGTTTCAATCGCTCGCGTTGTTTCTTCGGCTTTGATGGAACAATTTGGTTCTTTTTGTCGTCTGACCCTTGACTGTAATGAAAATAAAGACATGCAGGCTTACTACTGTAAAATATTTTAGTTTTGGTCGCTCAAAAGTTTGTTTTTATCGTCGTTTACGTTCGGTCTCATGTCAGGCACTTGGTCCTTGGAGTTTGTTTCTTTCTACCTCTTTCGCATGGTGTTGGCTTTCTTGACATTTGCAACTTATAAAACAAATGGTCCGCAATTTTGTTCTATAAAAAGACCGTAAATAAACTGTTTTTGTTTGTTTTCTCCACTCGATCATTATGTCTTATTTGTATGGCTTGGTGTAGAATAAACAATCTTTCAGCAGCAGTGATTCAATCAATATGTGAGGTATATGTGAACGTTCATATTTTGTGTTCTGTACAAGTTTCTTTCATTTTTTTCTGGTACGTAGGTGCTACAATAAAGAGCACCGGGGGGGACTCCCATATGAAATGGCCGGGGATGCTCGTCGAAAATTTTGAATAAAACCCTTAAGGGAGACCAATCTAGGCGTGGCCCAACCTTCTTTTGACCCCTAAAAAAGACCATTCTAAACTTTGATTACATGAATCGAATAAATATGACAATATATAATTTTTTAATATTTCTTCGCGCGCAATCCTAAATGAGACCTTTACGGCTAAATATAATGGTGTTTTGACTAGAACATCCTAAGTGAGACCAAAATCCGAAATTTACACCCCTAAGTGAGACGCAGAGCAACCCCGCCCCTTTCATGTGGGAGTTCCCCCCGGAAAAGAGCGGGATTTTAAGAAAATTCAAACAAACCTTTTTTCAGATGTTTCGTTCTCAAATTCTTCCGCCCCTCTTCCACTTATAAACGAAAGACCCTTTTTTCTAGATTCCTCGCCAAAACTTGTCAAAGAGCTCGTCGTGTTTAATAACGCATGTGTTGAAGACGGTTGTTTATTACCATCTGAAGGGCTATGTTCTTTTGTACTGGATTCCAGTTCATCTGGAGTAGGTCTAAATATTTCCACATCAGACTGGGTCCCACTCGTCTCCAGATCATCGTCCTCTCTGTCACGCTTGACTTTAGTTGGTTGCAGAGCAGCTAAAATGTTCTTGAGGGAATTGCTCGCTATTTCTTTTAACACTTTGCTCAAGTTGAAAGTGCCAAGATCGTGCGAGTCATTTCGGTGTAACAGTAGTTTTAACATCTCAAGATCAGCTTTATGGTCTTTGTCCTTTGCCATTTCAGAGAGATTACTACGAAAGTTCAATTTCATTTTCTTTGTTAAATCTAAAAGAACATTTTTCAGATCAAAAGAAGACTCTTTCGACTCTTTTTTATAGCTTTGTAGCTTAGTAGCAATTTGACTGCTGTCATCGTCTAACTTTCCAGCAGTGACATTATGGGGCATGCGTAGTCGATAACGACTGCCCTCCTTTAGAAATTTGACCAAGAGCGCAGTGTTATCTGAAACGTTATCTGAAACCGGTGTGTCTCTGTATTTGGTCTCAAGACCTTTGCCAGTTATTTTGGCCAGAATAGCAGTTAAATTTAAAGATTCGTCAGGTATTTCAGACATGTTTGGTTCTCTTGGAATGGTTTGCCTTTCACTTGAAATATTGAGCAGCTTTGCCACTAGAGTATCAAGTAGACTGGCTTCCCCAAGATTCCTTTTCTCGCGAACATCAACGTTCTGTACATGCGCAGATGATGTGTTCATGTCTCCTATCACTGTGAGGTTTTCTTTTTCGGCACCATTTTCATGAAGAACAATCTTATTCTCTCGTCCATCAAGAGGCTCATGCGGCTTACTCTCCTTCGTGAAGTTATGAAGGAGAACAAACATTTCTCTTTCTCTTGCGGTTATATTCAAGAAATTCGCAAAGAATGGCGGAGGCGTGCTAAGAAGCTCATTAGCGGCTGCAGTGTTAGTTGAAAAATTGCGAGTTTTGTTTTTCTCAATCTGCAAACTTGGAATATTGCTTGTTGCATTTAAAATCCCTAATCTTCTTGCATGAGCCAATTCCAAATTCTCGTATTTTGGTTCCGTAATGAATTCTTTTCTTCTCGATCTTGTAGCGGCACTTTCAACAGATGTATTATGAGATCCAGTAACTCCTTTTTCTGATTGATATTTATATTCCTCTTCTTCTTCGTCAGTTAAGTCAACTCTTTCAACTCGCACTAGTTTTTTCTCAGCTTTACTCCCGCCCGCCCTCCTCGACTCCTTCACTTTTCTTAGCAAAGCATTCTCTTGCCTATGCCTTTCATTGTCAACAATTTCGTCGACTTTCTCCACTCGAATAAGTTCTCTATTGGCTTCCTTTTCTGAAACGTTTGCCTTCCGTAGAATTTCTTCCGCTACCTTTCCCACAATGTCTGAAGGTGGAAGGAGGTGTGTTTGGCGTTCAGAAGTTGTCTTTGCCTGTGTTTTGTTATTTCTTCTTTCCTCTTGGATAACAAAGGTTTTGTTGTGATCGAAATAAAGCTTCTCCGCTTCCTTTGTCTCGTTCTTCGTCTTTTTCTCGTCGTTGATATGAAATTCCTCAATGAACTGCTCACTTTGTTTTACGTTGGACTCGCCATGTTTACCTGCGAAAGTTTTGTTGATGCGCTTCTGTTAGCAAGAATATCTTAAAAGACAGACTGAACTGCTATACTTTTGACAGCGTCTACAAACGCTCCTCCCCCTCCCACAATTCAATAGAGCCGACACTAACAATCTCAATAACCGTTTATTTTCAAGCAAAAAGGAGATAGTGAGGTTAACTCTATCTAATTCATCTTCACAAAAAGCGCAATAACAATAATAATGAATAAAAATAAAATATATCTTAGAATTGGACATATTTAAAGAATGTTCAAGATTTATCTGAGATGATAGAATGACTACAACATTGCTTCCTCTCAGCTAAAGGTACGGTAAATCGGTTTGACAGAAAGTGCAAATATTACAACTGTTGCAAAACGAGTGGAATAGCGATGTTGTGCGTTTTACCACACACGAATCGTACCTGTCCTGCTACAAATCAAGTTGTTGCAGGAAGTAGGAAAGTAGTTCTCCTTTTTGCAACAAAATCTGTCCAAGCAAGTGACGTAAATCCCGTGTATGGAGTGACTACCGCGTAATTTTATCAAATCAGAAGTCAGTACTCCAGCAACTTACAACGGACTGAATTGTTGCAAGATAGGTTTGAACGAGGGTCCGGTGGTAAAAACAGCAAGATCACAGTTCTCAACTCGTTTTACAGCAGTTGCAAAACAAATTGCACCTGTTATCACCCATTTTACAGTAGCTTAAGGTCCGAGGGGTAGAAGAAAAGCTGCTGTGACCACAGGCTCTCTACACATAAACAACTTCATACCTTGTGACTTTTCAGAAAATCTTCCTACATCAAATGGCCGCTTGGTCTGTACAATAACGGAAGTCACCACTACTTCCGGTTTAACCAGCCTGTCCCGTTCCAGTCCACTGAAGAAAGGAAACGTGTAGCAAACAGAGCTGCCATTACAGTATGAGTATAGTACTACGAGAGTGACAATCACTAGGAAGATTCCTAGCACCAAATTCCGCTTGGTCGAGGGCAGCATGATTTTTCGGCGTCTTTCGAAAAATTAAAAAGGAACCCTGTCAACTTATGTGGCTTATTAAGCACAACCCCCGCCCTCCACATCTCATCCAGGTCTCCCATTTTCGGATTATTATACGTTTCAGGGAAACTGCCCACCTCCCCTCCCCTAAGCCAACACTTTGCACTAAGTGAGAACTAAGTGTTAATGTTGACTTAAGGGAGGGGTAGGTGGGCAGTTTCCCAGATGGGGTGCCTATCATTAACACAAACCATCCGAGTGGAAATCTTGTGCATGAACATATAAAACTATAAAATTTGA